GAGACTCCTTTGGGTAGTGATAAAGTGGGATATCATGTCCAAACTCCTCCTCCTTCTCCTTCTCCTTCTCCTTCTCCTCCTCCTCCTCCTCCTCCTCCTCCTCTTCTTCTTCTTCTTCTTCTTCCTTCTGCCAGAGACTCCAGAACACCCAGAGGCAGATTCTTCTGAGGGATTATCCCCTCCACAACAGGGACGTCACATTCCCCAGCGCCTGCTTGGCCAGTGCAGGCCACACAAAAGGCAGGAGAGGTGCCAAAACAGAGGAATACCCTGTTAAGATTCCCTCCACAATTCAGGGGACGTTAGCCCAAGAGGGACAGAAAGCCTCATATGCTCTCCAGACCTTCTACAGAAAGTCGACAACATACGTTGCGATCCAAAGGCCTGCAAGTTTGGCTGACCCTGCTTGCTACTTGACCAACGCCCCCCGTGGCGTGTTTATTGTGTACGAGGAGGAGGGAGAAGGAGAGGGGTCTGGTCAGGACGGCAGAGGACGCCAAGCAGTGGCAGCCCCGCACCATGCTAGACTGGCAGGTGGCAGCTGAGGGGGACCACCAGCGAGAGGGAATGAAGGAGAGGGGAAGGGATGGAAGGAAAGGAGAGTTCGCTCCTTCTCCCTTTTTTCTATTATTACTTGTGCCAGGCCAGGCTCTTCCTCAGCCTCACTAACAGCGACACAACCACCATTTGGGGCCAAAACTGGACAAGGGACACTTTTGTTCAAAAACAGGAAGATCCTGTTTTCTTAGGGACAGGTGTCAATCCTAGCCCTTCCCCACTTTACATGCAAACATGGCAGTCTCATGAAAAGCAACACGTTTGTCACAGTGAACGTCCCACGGGCTTTTCACCCGAGTTGGGGACATAAACCCAGCACTGGGCCTAGTGCTCTATATCACAACACCAGACTGGCATGAGAGCCACTTAAAATGTGAAACAGTCACATCCATCTCTGAATACCAATGCGCTTGGCGCACCGTTTTTTAAACAGCAAGGGAGCACCTTGCCTCTGCACATCGCAGACCTTTTCCTTTTTAAAAGAAAAAAAAGGGAAGGAGATGAAAGCCCAACGAAAATGGTGATAACGGATTGCAGAGAAGCCTCGCTGTACTTTCCCTGCCCGACGCTCTGCCAAAATTTACAGCGGCATAGCAAACATCAGCTGGGAGCCGTTTGATTCTCTCGCCCACGCAGAGGCTCAGAGTAACCAAGGCATCGGCAAGAGCAGAGCAGCTCTTTGCAAAGCCTCCCCTTCACTCCTTGCCGTGCCCAGAAAATATCTCAAGCGTCAATTAAGGGAGGCAGAACGGCTGTCTCCTTTGCCTATGGGCCTGCGTTCGCACACAGCCAAAGAGAATCAGAATTAGAGCCTCTTACAGAAGATCAGGTCTTGTGTTCTCACTATCAGTTGCTCCAGAATAACTACACAGAGGGAGAGCCCTGGTGGATCAGACCCCAGGTCCACTGCTTCCAGCATCCTGTTCCCCTCACTGGCCAACTAGATGCCACCAGAACAACAGACCGTTCCAGCTATTGTTCCCCAGAGGCTGGTATTTCAGAGACACAGTGTCCCTGGCCCTAGAGGAACCATGAAGCCATCGTAGCTGGAAGCCATTAGTAGCCTCATCCTCCTAAAATTTGACTAGTCCCCTTCTGAAGTCATCTAAGATGGTAGCCAGCCTTTTCCTCACTTCATTTAAAGCACACGGCTTTCCCCCAAAAAATCCTGGGAACTGTAGTTTGCTGAGGATGCTGAGAGTTGCCAGGGTACAACAGATGCTACAATCCCCAGAGCTAGGGATTTAACAATCAGCCCCTTTCCCCAAGTGAACTCTGTTTTGAAGCACAGAATGGGTGATTCATGCCACTAAGCTACGAGTGATCCATGTTTATAGGCAGGCAAAAACAGCATAGCATGTATGCATCCCTATTAATTATACACGTCAACATATCCTCTTCAGACCCTGTTTCCTGTCTCCAAGATCGACTGGCAGTTCTTCCGTTTGCGCTAGAGACCAAAGGCCTGCTTCTGATTGGCACCAGCCACCCTCACGTGGCCTTGCAAGAGAAACATCTTCACACAATTCTTACTCAGGGACCTCTGAGCCTGGTTTAAGTGCCCCCGCCACTTTTGTTCCCCATGTCTGGATCCTGTGTGGAAAGCTAAGTATAAGGGAGTTGGGGTTGGAAGAAAGCTAGCCACTCTCCATCCTTATTTCCCAACTACCCTCCTGCCTAAAAACTTGACAGCCCTTATGGAGAGCTAGAATTTGGACGGATCTGATGCAGATTACCCTGGCAGAAGCTATCTGGTCTGGCTCTGGTCTGTGCCGGGATGGGAAGCTGCTGAGGAGCCCCTGTGTGTGCCCACCTGGACTTCTATCGCAACAATTAGAAAAGCCAAGATATTTTTTGTTAAAGGTAAAGGGGACCCTTGACCGTTAGGTCCAATCACGAACGACTCTGGGGTTGCGGCGCTCATCTCGCTTTATTGGCCGAGGGAGCCGGCATACAGCTCATGTGGCCAGCATGACTAAGCCTCTTCTGGCGAACCAGAGCAGCGCACGGAAACGCCGTTTACCTTCCCGCCAGAGCGGTACCTATTTATCTACTTGCACTTTGATGTGCTTTCGAACTGCTAGGTTGGCAGGAGCAGGGACCGAGCAACGGGAGCTCACCCCGTCGCGGGGATTCGAACCGCTGACCTTCTGATCAGCAAGCCCTAGGCTCTGTGGTTTAACCCAATGCGCCACCCGTGTCCCTTATATTGTTTGTTAGTAGTTATCAATTCACTAGCTCACCTGCAAACTATATTCAGCACATTTCATGATATGTGCTGTTCATAGTGGGGGGAAACTGTATACCTAGAACAGGGGGGCAACCCATTTTCTGTCAAGGGTGACATTCCTTCAGGAGTAATGTGGGGGGCATGGCGCAAGTGGTGTGCCCCCAAACCTTGTTTTCTCTCTCTTTCTAGCATCTCCTCGCTTGCCACCCAACAGGCTGCTGCAGGAAGGCCACTCTTCCCAGAAATCCGAACTTTCAAAATTAGGCTGCAGGTTGCAGTTGATCGAGAAAGTACAGCCTTTGTTCAAGAAAGCCAAAATGCCATTATAAAGTATGAATACGGATAAACCTTTGCATCGCACTAACAGGTTGACCAGCAAGAGAAAATCGTTGTTATTTTTCTCCTTTTACGAGCGCTTACAAGGTGGTGTTTTTACCAAGCTCAGGTTGGACAACCTACGCCTTTTTAAAATGTGTTTTTTTTGGGGGGGGAGGGGTTATAGGGTTGTTGTTGTTATTTTGATTATGTATTTTGTGGTTCTGTATTTTGATTTTATTCTGCGAACCGCCCTGAGACCTGCTTGGTATAGGGCGGTATAGAAACCCAGTAAATAAATAAGAAATAAACCACAGCAGAGTGGGGGTATCATGGAGAGAGAGGGTCCAGGACACAAGATGAGAACAAGGGCTGGTCCTCTGGTTACTCTTTACAAGATACTAGGTTCAAAGATTTTGAAGATTTATGGGGCAATTGAAGCACTTGTCATGCTGTGTTTCCATCATGTCACATATTTATTCCCGGTGCTGCAAGTCTGAAAGTAAAACCTCGGGATGTGGGCTCATGTTTCTAATGAGGTCAGGAATTGGCTGTGGCAGAGAGACAGGTGAAAAGAGATATTCTGCCTTGGAAAACCTCAAGTGCCTTTGGTGGTCTTTAGAGATAGCATCCTCTTTCCTCCCTGCCCCCATCCCCCTGGCTCTCTGCCATCAAGCTGCAGAGTATGATAAAAGCCCTAGTCCACACGTCCTGTCCCTGCCATTAGTGACATGACAGCATTGCAGAGGATAGAGCAGGAATCCTTTGGGAAAGCTTCAGTGCTAAGGCTGAAATACTTCACAGATGGAGAAAGAAATTGCTTCTGCTCAAAGCATCAGACACAGAATATTTACAGATCTTGGATCAATTCACAGAGATCATGCCATTTAGCTTCCAGAATATTCGACAAGATTAGGTAGGAGACCAGGACACCTGTGCAGTGTAAAAAGCTGCCTTATATTGTAGCCAAGATTATTTAGTTCACAAATGTTTGTACTTCAGCAAAGAAAGGCTGTGCTCAGAGACCCCTGACCATTAGGTCCAGTCGTGGCCGACTCTGGGGTTGCGGCGCTCATCTCGCTTTATTGGCCGAGGGAGCCGGCGTACAGCTTCTGGGTCATGTGGCCAGCATGACTAAGCCGCTTCTGGCGAACCAGAGCAGCGCAGGGAAATGCCGTTTACCTTCCCACAGGAGCGGTACCTATTTATCTACTTGTACTTTGACGTGCTTTCGAACTGCTAGGTTGGCAGGAGCTGGGACCGAGCAACGGGAGCTCACCCTGTCGCGGGGATTCAAACCGGCAACCTTCTGATCAGCAAGTCCTAGGCTCTGTGGTTTAACCCACAACACCACCCTTTGGGCAACCCAATTTGGCTTTGAGAGTTAACGTACTCAAAATGCCACAGTCAAATGGAGTCAGGGAGCAGGATTCGAAGTACGAGAAGCAGAAACAAAATGATAACGAATGTAATAGAGGATATGTATTGGATGAATGTATGGTGTACAATGCAGCAGGAAGAAGGGTGGGAACAAAAACATCATGGAGGGAAGCGTGGGAAGTCAAAATGCCAAAGGGAAATAATATTAAAGTTGAAGTTAATACGTAATAGTTTTTGGAAATTCAATGAAAATCTAAATTAGAAAGGGGGAAAAACAGAGTTGACACACTCAACCACCTGAGCTCAACATTGGAAGAAACTGTGATTAGAATAATACTTTATGCACCTATTAATCAATATAATATTACAATAATACTCATACTGGGCCCGTTTGGGGGAAAGGATGGGATGTAAACAACAACAACAGTAGTTCAAATTACCATTTGCTTTGGAGAACTGAGTACAGATAATGGAAACTTTTCCATGAACGTACATGTTCTTTGTGTTTGTGCCTTACCTTGCCACAAGCTGCCATGGAAAGGGCCAGTTGATACCATAGGTGGAATTCACCAAATGCAAGTTTCATTGCTCTCTCCAAACACTGGGGAGAAAAAGAAGAAAGCACAAGTATTATCACTAGCAGATTCTCAACTTTTGTGGAATTCATTACCAAAAGGTGGGGGGAGGGGGGAACCTAGGTGATTTTATTTTTTTCAGTGGGGATAAAAAAATGTCCATCTGGGATAGTTCAGGTTTTAGATCCAGTGCTGCTGTTAGCCTTTCCCACTGTTTCGGAAAACACATTTTCATCAATATATTGGATCCAATTCTGTTAAGTTGTCCCCCCACCCCCATTTTTTTTGTTTATACAATTTTTATTAAATTTTCTGTTTTACATTTTAGAATATTCATTTAAACAACCATAAAATCTCAATGACTTCCCTTCTTCTCTTTCCATGGTTCATTTTGCATAACATGAATCCCTGCATATTTCACATAAACTAAACCATTCAGTATTCCATTGTTACATCCATCAAAACTTATTTACACTGTTGACTTTATCTTAATGCTGCCAGCATTTTCAAGTGTGCATAATTTCCCCCCACATATTCAGTAAACAATTTCCAATCTTCTTTAAACGTATCTTCTTCATGTTCTCTTGTTCTATATGTTAGATCCGCAAGCTGGGCACAATTCCATCACTTTAAGTTCCCATTCTTCTTTGCTTGGGACCTCGCTCGTTTTCCATACAGTGGTACCTTGGGTTAAGAACTTAATTCGTTCTGGAGGTCCATTCTTAACCCGGAAACTGTTCTTAACCTTTAGCTAATGGGGGCCTCCCGCTGCTGCCGCTGCGCCGCCACCACACAATTTCTGTTCTCATCCTGAAGCAAAGTTCTTAATCCGAGGTACTATTTTTGGGTTGGCGGAGTCTGTAACCTGAAGCGCCTGTAACCTGAAGCGTCTGTAACCCGAGGTACCACTGTAGTTGTGGGGGTTTTTTTCTCTAAAGAGAGAGTAGGAAAATGGGAGGGTGGAATGGTGCGACCTGGAGGAAGTCTCCTGCTAGGAGGTGAGGATACAGCGCAACGTTTTGTTGCAGGCCCCACTCACCTCAGCTGACAGCCATCCCCACATCCCACAACAGCAAAATTTCAGAATTTTACTGAGAGCCAGTGTGGTGTAGTGGTTAAGAGCGGTAGTCTCGTAATCTGGGGAACCGGGTTCGCGTCTCCGCTCCTCCACATGCAGCTGCTGGGTGACCTTGGGCTAGTCACACTTCTCTGAAGTCTCTCAGCCCCACTCACCTCACAGAGTGTTTGTTGTGGGGGAGGAAGGGAAAGGAGAATGTTAGCCGCTTTGAGACTCCTGAAGGGGAGTGAAAGGCGGGATATCAAATCCAAACTCTTCTTCTTCTTCTTCTTCTACGCTCCTCATATCACTGCTGCGTCGTGGGAAGAAGCCGCGTTACAGCAGCTCCCACGCTGCCAGCATTAAGAAAGGTGGCCTTAGGAGTCTCCCTCCTCTGGAGTCATGGAATGTATTGCACACGGCCCCAGGCAAAACATGTGTACACCCATAAATGTTTCAGTTAGATGTAGTGCCACTTGGATACACTTCAGCAAACATTATAAGCAAGCTGGTGTGCGTTTGGAAGAACGTAGAGTGCTGCCTTGTTGTTTTGGGGGCGATAAAAAAAAAGAGAGAAGAAAACCTAGGAGTAGTTACCTCAGAAAGCATGACATACTGCCCTCTTCTGCCCAGTGTGATAGTTAGAAGATCGTAAACCGCCGACGCATCCTGGAGACTGATGGCTCGGTCGTCTTTCTGCTCAGGGGCCCGGCTAATTACTGCGTCCTGGTTTGCCTGGGAGTGAATTCAGAATAAAAAGAGAGGTCAGGTCCAGCAGGAACGAGCGGAGAGAGCCAAGAGCACCTCAGAAAGGTCGCCAGCCAAGCACTGCATGTCCAAGCAAAAGTGCCCCTATCCAGCCCCCTGCGTTCATCCACAGGAAGCTAATTTGGGAAGGCAGAATGCATTTACAGAAACGCTGGGAGACGGTTCCCTCAGATTATCTCTCGGAAACCTCTAGAACGAGAGATGACAAGAGCCCCACAGCGCCAGAATGCTTCAAGGCCCGGGGCCGCACTTAAAATGGTGCGCCCAATTACTTCAGCTGCCTGCAACTTTACGACGGCAACCTTTTAAAACGAGGCAAAACAAAAGAATACTCCTCCACTTTCCCCCACTTTTTAAAGATGTTTCGCACTGCAGCATGGCTGCAGAGAGTCCTCCTCGGGTTGATGTTGGCTTGCAAAGGAATATGTTGCTTAAAACATACTTATTTGCCTGGTCATGTGCAAACCCTTGAGTGCAAACAGTTCCAAAAAGAGACAGGTAGGTAGCCATGTTGGTCTGCCGTAGTCGAAACAAAATAAAAAAATTCCTTCCAGTAGCACCTTAGAGACCAACTAAGTTTGTCTTTTAAGGGATGCGGGTGGCGCTGCGGGTAAAAGCCTCAGCGCCTAGGGCTTGCCGATCGAAAGGTCGGCGGTTCGAATCCCCGCGGCGGGGTGCGCTCCCGCTGCTCGGTCCCAGCGCCTGCCAACCTAGCAGTTCGAAAGCACCCCCGGGTGCAAGTAGATAAATAGGGACCGCTTACTATCGGGAAGGTAAACGGCGTTTCCGTGTGCGGCTCTGGCTTGCCAGATGCAGCTTTGTCACGCTGGCCACGTGACCCGGAAGTGTCTCCGGACAGCGCTGGCCCCCGGCCTCTTGAGTGAGATGGGCGCACAACCCTAGAGTCTGTCAAGACTGGCCCGTACGGGCAGGGGTACCTTTACCTTTACTTTACCTTTAAGTTTGTCTTTGGTATGAGTTTTCATGTATCTGAAGAAGTGTGGATGCACACGAAAGCTCATACCAATGACAAACTTAGTTGGTCTCTAAGGTGCTACTGGAAGGATTTTTTAAATTTTGTTCCAAAAAGCGCAGCTATGAACCCATAAGAGCACCATCCTGTTCCCAGAGCGGCTAACCAGATGCCTCTGGGAAGTCCGATACAGAACAAGATAGCGACAGCCCCCTCCCACATTTGTTTCCGGGCATTAAGAGACATGCTTGCTGTCACCCCAAGGGGTAGACTTCAGCCACTGAAACCTCCATGTATTTGTTTGTTCCCCAATTGTAAAGCCATCTAAGGCAGGAGCAGGGAGAACATCAAACAAAAATCAGATTTCCGATCCATTAACTATCCTGATTGGCAGCGGTTCGCCAGAGTTTCAGAGAGGAGTTTCTCTCAGACTTACCTAGAGATGCAAAGGACTGAACCCAGGGGCATGTAAAATAGATGCTCTATCACTGGTGGGTGGGCATGTCCCCCCCCCAAAAAAGTCATTTGAACTTGTCAATTCACTCTGAGTAGAGAGAGATGAGCAGGAAATGGATTCAGAGCCAATTCATACGCTCACTCCTCAACTGTTCCCAGAGGTGTGGCTATTCTTTATGCCCTAATACAAGAGGAAAGTAAAATCTATTGAATGAAGGAAAGCTTTTTTTTTTCCTGGGGGTTTGATCTTCTGCGGGCCATAATCAACGGCACTTTGTCATGGGGCGTTCTTTGAAAAGGAAGATTTTAAAAAGAGCACTGGGGAAAGGCAGAGGTTTGTGGAAGGATGTGCATAATCAACCTTGCTGTCAATTAAACCTTTCCACACATTGCATACCACGCTATTAAAAAGTTTCTGCATCAGTAGCTCTGAGGCAGCGTTTAGTTGTGAAAAATAGCTGCGCCGAACAAGCCCCCACATATTCTGAAAGCCAGTAATCAGCTTCGCATCAGAGTCAGCTATTTCGGGCATTTGTCAGTGGGCCAAACTAGGAATTTTAAAGTGATGCCTTAGCACAGATAGAATATTCACCCGAACTAGTACATTACCGCAAGCTTTGGGCTTACGAAAAAAGGGGACAGGAATACATGTAACTACAAATATCGCCTGTTAGCGCTGCAATAAAAAGGAAGTGCTTCCTATATGATCCAAGCACAGGCAATGGTGCCAAACACCAAATGCAGAAGGGGCATGGCTTATTATTATTATTATTATTATTATTATTATTATTATTATTATTATTTTAAATTTGTATATCGCCCTTCATCCCAAGATCTCAGGGTGGTTCACAACATAAAAGTACAATTTAAGTATCACTTGCACAAATAGTGTTTTTCTTTTGATCATAATCACTTAAGAAGGTTGGAGGGTGGATGGATCTACACACAGGGGGGGGCACTATAAATAAGTCAGAAATTAAATTGTTATAACAATACTTAAAAAACACACACAACCCTATGTAAAAATGCTATAGAAAGGTTTTGTGCTCTCTGACGTTATCCGGTGTTGCGCGTTTATAACACATTCAAATCAAAATGGAGTGACTAATGTAGCTGAGCGTGACGTCTAATATTGTACAACTATGAGGTTTTCCTCATGGTTGGAGTTATTTGAAAATTATTTATTTAGCAAAACTTCATAGTAACACCTTACCTATAAGGTCACATATCACTAGAGTGACATATGAATTTGCCAGTTCTTAAACTTTGTACCCGGGACTATTTGAGATTCCTTTTCAGCTGCTCACAAGAACATAAGAAGACCCTGGGAGATCAGGCTGGTGGCCTATCTAATCCAGCATCCTATTCTCACAATGGCGCCAAGCAGATGCCTGTTTGAAATCCACAGGCAGGGCCCAAGCACAAAGAGCCCTCTGTGAGCATGGTGACCATGTAGCTCAGAGACAAGGGCACATGCCTTAGATGCAGAAAGTCCCTCGTTCAGTCCCTGACATCTCCAGCTAAAAAGGGATCACTGGTGGGGGAGACTTCCGTCTCTAGGATCCTGGAGAGCAGCTGCCCATCAGACGCTAGGCTAGATGAACACATAGTCTGAGCTGGTACAAGTCCGTTTCCTATGTTCTATTTCGTCTCTAAGGAAAGTTTCTAGTCCTTAAGAATGCATGCAGGGACGCTCACAGGAGAACCCGTTTAGAAAAACCACAAATATGCATATATTTCAGGAATACGTCACTGAACTGCTTCCAAAATTATATTGCATACTCACAGGGTGACCTTTCAAAGCAATTATGCGAGTGCTCTACATACAGAAACGTTACGCAGAGATGGTAGCTTGGCAGAATCACCATATGGTGCCTCCAGCTTGGAGCAGAGTTGCAAATTCAAACCGATGGCAGAAAAAAAATGAAAAATCCTTCCTGGGCCCCCCAAGGCGGATAAGAAGGAAGCCAGCAAGGCAGACCACTGAGCACTCTCTAGCACCTTCAAAATATGATTCTACGATCATCCTGTGATTCTATGACCATCACCACATCCTGCGGTAGCAAACTCTGTAGTTTAACCATGCGCTCGGCTGTCCGATTCAACACACGGAGGGGGGGTGGTGACGTAAGCCGAATGAGCTCATTCAGAGCACAGAACTAAAGGGCACTGTGACATAAGAGAGAGAGAAGTGATGATTGACAGCGTGGAAGTGGGATGGGATGTTGGGTGGAGTGAGAAAGAGTGACAGGCAGAGAACTGCGGGTGGGAACGTGACATTTGGAGCTGTGAGGAGACGGGCTGTGAGGGGAACAGAGGGGAACAGATGAGAGAGGTAACGGGAGCAAACGTACAGGAGTTAAGTTATCTCAGGATAGCATCAGAGTTATGAGTGGCTCTGTATAAAACCTCTTTCATATTAGAGAGCTTTGAAACTCAGCTCTGGAATAAATAACAATATTGAAGCTGTTAACATGCTTCACTGGAGATTACCCTCTGCTCTGAAATTGATGAGCATTTATCAATTATAACCAAACACATAAGTTCTTGGAAGAGAGTGTTCTCATCAGGGCAGGCTCAGGCTATTTTATTGTCCCCTTCCTAGCCACCAACCTGCACCCTACATCTTTTTTGCACTAGGGATGTGTGGCGCGGGGGGGGGGGGAGAGGGTTGTTCCCTCCTCCAACATTTCTCTCCCCTGTCCAACAAAAACCAGCCTCCTTTCCCCTGTTCTACAGAAGTGAAGTAAAAGCATTTGTTGTAGTTCCTTGGGTGGAATGAGGGAGCAGAGCTGCAGCTGAACTTTCTTAAAAATAGCATCTACTCCTATTTTAAAAAAACAAAGACCAGCAAATAGGGACTGCCACAATTTTGCAGGGCGGATTGTGCCTGTTCAGGGTTTCAACCATTTTCTTCTCTTCCAGAACACTCTGTTCCACACAGACCCCTAGTTTTAAACACTTATTCATATACCAAGACAGTCAGCGTTCACTGCACACTGAGCGTGCTGTCTCTGATTTAATGCACACCTTTAGGGTCTCCCCTCAACCTTAATTTTATTTTTTTTGTATTTCTGCATACCATAGAACTGTAGAGTTGGAAGGGACTCCAACGGACATCTAGTCCAAGCACAGGCAAACTCGGCCCTCCAGATGTTTTGGGACTACAACTCCCATCATCCCTAGCTAACAGGACCAGTGGTCAGGGATGATGGGAGCTGTAGTCCCAAAACATCTGGAGGGCCGAGTTTGCCTATGCCTGATCTAGCCCAACCCCCTGCAATGTAGGAATCTTTTGCCCTTGAGCTTCCCAAAGCTTGCTGAGATGCATGCAGATTCTGGTCTTGTTTTGGCTGCATAAGGATCCACAGCCGAAAAAGGGAAGACACTATTAGTTTGTAGAATTCTACCCAACTAACCCAATAGAGCCAACAAAGAGAATGGAACATTAAAAATAATAATAAGTAGAATTGGGAATGTGGAAGCTACAGGCCAGTTAGCTCAACACCTGTTCCACGAAAACTGGTGGGGAGCACTGTTAAAGATGGGATTCCATGCTAAGGGTTGTAAGAAAGGAATCAAAAATAAAACTGCCAAAATATCCTAATGCCTTTATACAAATCTCTGGTGCAAACCACGCTTGGAATACTGTGTACACCTCTGAAAGGCTATTGTGGGGCTGCCAATGGTACAACAAAAGGGGGCGACCAAAATAATCGAGGAAATGTTACAACATTTGGGACTTCCTAGTTTGGAGAAAAGGTAAGAGGTGACATGAGGTAAGATGATGGAGCGCTTTTTTTCAGTCAGAACTGAGTTCTGGCACCTCTCAGGTGGGCTCCATTGCTTTTCTAAGAGAACAAGGGAGGCATTCATGGTGAGCTCTGACACCTCTTTCTCTAGAAAAATAGCACTGGGGAAAAAGGTACTTCTTCACACAGGGTATAGTTAAACTACCGAATTTGTTCCCACAAGAAGTAGTGAGGGCTACCATCTTGGATGGCTTTAGGAGTGGACAAATTTAGAGAGAGAGAAACAGTCAATGGCTGCTAGCCAAGATGGTGATGTTCCGCTTCTTTTGCTGGAGGTAGTATGTACTCGTTGCTGGGAATCGTATGTGGAGATTCCCACCTGCACTAAATGGCCTTTGGCCTGATCCAGCAGGCCTCCTTTTCCTGTTCTTACTCAAGCAAAAGGCAACAGAATTTTTTGCAGTCCTGCTTCCACCACCTTCCCTCTTTCTCAGACTTTTTTCCAGGTCAAATCCCATCTGGCCATTTAACTCAATAATAAGACGGTGATAAATGATTCCCAAACTCTGCTACACTGGGCACACTGTTTATTAGTCTGTTTTCCAATTCAGCTGAGGGAAGAGAGAGAGAGAGAAGGCAAGCCAAATTACTCTGCACCACTTGTGGTGTGTTTTGTTAACCTACAACATGCCTGGGAGATGCCACACCGAGGGGAACACATCCCCTTGCCATTTAAAAACAACAAGAACAACACCAAATTACAGTGACAGTGGCTTGGGTGAGAGGCTTATGAACTGCATCAAAACTGAGGGACAGATCTTCATTGTGTAAACGAGAGAATTTCAAAATAAAAATGCTCAGGGATGAGGGTTCTGGGAGAAAAATGCTGACAGAAAAACATTCCTTTCCCAGCTTAGAGACAGCTCTGGCTTATATTCCGCAGCACTAGAAATCCTGTTGAAGAGGGAGGGAGGATGACTAAAACAGGCTCAGGAAAGTTTTAAGGACAGCTCTTAATCTACCTGCACTTGGCTTCCTCAGGAATAGACACTGAACAGGCATCAGGATTTATTGGTGGATTGTTAAACAGATGTTTTATAAAAACCCAGACCAAGGCGCACCTATAATTAGGTATCAGCTTTCCAGCTTTTACCTTCAGATAATTATTCGCAGACTTGAAGCACAGTGAAAGCTCCTTAGAGCAATGTTTCCTAAACGTGGGCCTCCAGCTGTTTTTGGACTACAGTTCCCATCATCCTTGACCGCTGGTCCTGCTAGCTAGGGATGATGAGTGCTGTAGTCCAAAAAACAGCTGGAGACCCAAGTTTGGGAAACCCTGCCTTAGAGGAAAGGTGGGGTACAAACGTTATTTTAAAAAATCCACAGAGGAACCCCCTGTGCAGCTGTCTCAGAACTCCTGCACGTCACGTAGGCTTCTAGGGGATGTACTGAGGCATAAAGGCCAGTCCAAGATGCATGCCACCTCAGACTGGTTAGGCTATTTTGGCACCTGAGCCATAAGAAACACAGGAAGGTGCCTCATACTGTGTTAGATCATTGGTCCATCGGACTGGAAGTGGTTCAGACAGAGGTCCTTCTCAGCCCTACCTAGAGATGCCCAAACCTGTTACTTCTTCACCCAGTTCATATTTAAATGATGGAATTTGCTGTCACAAGGTACAGTCTCAGCAACTGGTATTCAAAGGCATATGGCCTCCAACAGTGGGAAAAGAACATAGCCATTGTTGCTGGTAGCCATTAATAGCCTAATCCTCTTCTTTTAAGGCCATCCAAGTTGGCCATCTTAGTGAAAGCAAATTCCACAGTTCAGCTTAGGCGCTGTGTGGAGAAGTACTTTATTTTGTCTGTTCTGAATCTCTCAACATTCTTCATGGGATGACCACAGGTTCTAGAATTCTCCACACTGTGCATAATCTATCATGCCCCTCACCTGTTACTCGCCCAAATGTTGTAAACTTCAGCCTTAGTGAAAAATCCTGTTAAATTTGCCTTGTAGGGCACTGTAGATTCACTTGATTTTATTGCGTATTCTGCTGTTCAAAACTGCTTGTTTTTTAAGTTGTATTTCCTTCTTATTTTGTATTACATTGGTTTTAGGTAAGCCACCTTGTGTATTTGTTGTTAAAAAACACACCCCAAGGTATAAATCAATAAATCATCAGCACCATAGCTGTATCTCTGTAGCCCAGAGATCTGCTGTTTGTCAACTGGTCCACTCTGGGCGGTTTTAAAATAAGGTTCATATAACACAGTGAAGAAAACACCTTTTTTAATTAAATAAAATTAAGCCTGTTTTGCAAAAGAAAGAAAGGGGGGGTGATGATATTGTTCCTATGCCACGTTAAGGGTGACTCACAGTTTTCTATTAAATTTCTCAGACTGCTCGCTGAACGTTTGCTTAATCTGTCATCATCGAGCGATGCTTCGAAAAACAAAAACAAGTGGCAGCTCTCTCTCTCTCTGTGCTGTATTAAAAGACAACTGCTGCTTTCTTCCGCACTGAACAGGCAAGATTTTGTGAGCAGGAAGCCAGTTTGCAGATCGCAAAGGAAACCTGGAAATGCCATCCTGAAAATATCAAGTATTATCCTAATGCTTATTGCATGCTTTCATTATTACCCTTCTTTATAAGTATTCCTATCTGGCTTACCATAGATTCACTGATAAGGAGGAGGAGGAGCGCCTCTTCAACGTTGTCATGGGGGCTGTAGATGCTGAAAGACAAACAAACCTGTTGTTTTAATATAAGCAACACCAGCAGCTCACTGATGGGACACTCTTGTTAACACCACCACAGGACTAGTAACTTGAACCGTCTCATGCATGATTCATACGTTATATAACCGCTTCTTCAGGCCAGGATGACTAAAAGCGGCAGGGTGTATCCTAGGAGAAAACTCAGCCCTGACTCAAGCGAGGCAAAGCTGTTTGGTTAGACACAACTTCTACACATGAAGCAATTTCTCTCCTGGGCAAAAAACAACAACTCCAGATGACAAGTTAAGTTTTCACAGATGGGATATTAAGAAAATGGTAATAAAACACAGATTGTACGGGGCCCACAGAGACCCACAACCAAAGACCTGCCTGTGGTTTTGAGCTAATATCTGAAATCCAGCACAAACTTCCTCAGCTCTTTGCCATTCCTCCAAGACCTTCGTTCCCTAATAGACATCTCCCAACCCTCCAACTTCAGACCCTGCGAGCTAACACATATCCTTTCCTGTTACTAGATTTTTTCCTCCTCTAGCCAAACTGATCTTCTGCTTCCCTCATGGTGCCAGGACTACTCTTTAAACATGAACCTGCCCAGACCCTGACATAATCTTCTGAGGCCCTTCTTCTGAGGCCCTTCTTCTGAGGCCCTTCTTCGTGTGCCTCCTCCTCGAGGTCCAGAGGGTGGCAACACGAGAACGGGCCTTCTCTGCAGTGGCTCCCCGTCTGTGGAATGCTCTCCCCAGGGAAGTTAGCCTGGCGCCTTCATTATACACCTTTAGGCACCATGCAAAAACATTCCTTTTTAACCAGGCCTTTTAAAATGTGGCTCTTTTCAGGGGGGGGGTGTTATTGGGCTGTTGTTTTTATTCTGATTATATATGTTGTGATCTTTTCAGTGAGCCTCCCTGAGACCTCCAGGTATAGGGCGGTATATAAACTCAATCAAAAATAACAGTAATAATAACACTAGTAAAGGTAAAGGTAAAGGGACCCCTGACCATTAGGTCCAGTCATGGCCAACTCTGGGGTTGTGGCACTCATCTCGCTTTATTGGCTGAGGGAGCTGGTGTACAGCTTCCGGGTCATGTGGCCAGCATGACTAAGCCACTTCTGGCGAACCAGAGCAGCGCACGGAAACGCCGTTTACCTTCCCGCCGGAGCGGTACCTATTTATCTACTTGCACTTTGACATGCTTTCAAACTGCTAGGTTGGCAGGAGCAGGGACCAAGCAACGGGACCCCACCCCGTCGCGGGGATTTGAACCGCTGACCTTCTGATCAGCAAGCCCTAGGCTCTGTGGTTTAACCCACAGTGCCACCCATGCCCCTTATATTTTTTGTTAGTAGTTATCAATTCACTAGCTTACCTGCAAACTATATTCAGCACATTTCATGATACGTGGTGTTCATAGTAGGGGGAAACTATATACCTAGAACGGGGGGGGGGGGCAACCCGTTTTCCCTCAAGGGCTACATTCCTTCAGGAGTAATGTGGGGGCTTTCGAACTGCTAGGTTGGCAGAAGCAGGGACTGAGCAACGGAGCTCACCCCGTCGTAGGGATTCGAACCGCTGAACTTCTGATTGGCAAGTCCTAGGCTCTGTAGTTTAACTCACAGCGCCACCCACGTCCCTCTAATAATAACACTAGAGTATCAGAAATCTGTGAGGGATTCTTGCCCACTTCACCTGTTACTCCCATGGAGTGGGTAAGTCTGGGGAAGGAGGCTGTAGGGGCCATGCATTGAGTCCAATTCCCACCATTGCTCCTCCTGTCTTTGCCATTAACATGTTCACCATAATGTCTGCAGCAGGGAGGGTATTCCTGCATGTATCGGCTTTTGGAACAATACAGAAACTGGGCCAAAAGGTTATCCAAATGGCACAGGGAGTCTCCGTTCATAGAGAAGTTCGTACTGAAACTCCCTCTCACCTCCCGCCACTGCCCAAGTTATGACAAACATGGTGTTGGGACCGCTGACAGCTGAGGGAGGACACATGTGACTTGGGGGTGGAGCTAAGGGCCAAGCTCCACAGCTCTTGTCATCACATGACTCAGGCGTGAAGAAGGCTTCTTTCTCCTTCGGTAAGTGAAGTGAAATCTCCAGGGCATTGCAACCAACACAGCCAACGACTGCGAGGGTTTTGCAAGTAGCGTACAAACGAACAGTACTAGCCAGCCGTTGCTAAGTGTCTTGACTGCCTGCCCTTTCATGTTATTTTATCTGGCCCTGGATGTAACAGCCCCAAAGAACTCTATACGCACTTATCTCCGGTGTGTAGCTGCAGTCTTTGGCGAAGAGTAGTGCAGATGTACAAATTATCCTCTTTGTTCATGAACTCGGGAAGAGGATCAGATAAGGGGCTCCAGTAACAATCTTCGCTCAGGGAGTGCAGGAGCAGCTCTGCCAACTGCTTGGCAGCCGTCTGGAGAAGAATGGACAGAAAATGAGGGAAACATGTGTTTTTTTAAAGCCTTCAGTGACACCTATTTGCCTACCAGGTTGATGATTCAACTTGCTACGAGCCAGTACACATGATACGTCGGATCTGCATCGGATTGCTTTTTTAACTCAGTCAGGACGGCCACACACGACTCACCTTTCCAGTTGTCTCAAGTACGCATAGAAATGCTTTGCTTTTGGGTATGGCTTTCGTTCTTAGGATTCTCAGCTCCGGTAGTATATATGGGTAACATTTGTGAATGAGTTGTTCCGCCTGGCCTTTGGCTTGGAATCAACTTGATCCCCTCCCCCTCTTTCCTTTTTCCTTTCTCCTTCTGTAATGGAACTCCTATTTGGGGACTTCCCTGGCTTTTTTCTGGCCCATGTAGGACCAGAAGAAGAAGAAGAGTTTGGATTTGATATCCCGCCTTTCACTCCCTTTAAGGAGTCTCAAAGCGGCTAACATTCTCCTTTCCCTTCCTCCCCCACAACAAACACTCTGTGAGGTGAGTGAGGCTGAGAGACTTCAAAGAAGTGTGACTGGCCCAAGGTCACCCAGCAGTTGCATGTGGAGGAGCAGAGACGCGAACCCGGTTCACCAGATTACGAGTCTACCGCTCTTAACCACTACACCACACTGGCTCTCTGGATAGTTGGCGCTGGTGAAGACTTAACGTTCTCATCCCCCAAAAAGTTTTTGATTTGAGTTCCTACTGAAATGAGGCTGCATTTTTAATGTTTTAATGTCGTATTTTAATCTTGTTTTTAAGTTGTATTTCAATCAATTGTTTTTATACCTGGTGTCAGCCGCAGTGGCGTAGCGTGGGTTGTCAGCACCCGGGGCAAGGCAAGTAATTTGCGCCCCCTAACCTGTGGATTTGCGCCCCCTAACCCTAACCCCCAGATGTTGCGCCCGGTGCGGCCGGCCCCCCTGCACCCCCCACGCTACGCCACTGGTCAGCTGCCCTGAGCCTGGTCTTGGCTGGGGAGGGTGGGATATTATTATTATTATTATTATTATTATTAACAATTTTAAGTGGGACCCATGACACAATTCACAATGTGGAACACCAGCTAGGAAACAGAGAGTTCAACTAGCTCAGGCTATTTTTCCATCCAGCACACAGTTGTCTACTCCAACGGACAGAACCACTCCTGTGTCTCAGCCAGGAGTCTTTCTCAACAACTGATGCCTTCTCCTTCTCCTTCTCCTTCTCCTTCTCCTTCTCCTTCTCCTTCTCCTTCTCCTTCTCCTTCTCCTTCTCCTTCTCCTTCTCCTTCTCCTTAAGCTGCAGGTTCTAGGTATTGAAGCTGGGGCTTTTGGGATGAAAAGCATGTATTCTACACTGAACTGTGAACCCTTCCCCTATTTAGTCTCACACTGCAAGAGTCATCTAGTCCAACCCCACCCTGCCCCCACAATGCAGGAATGTTTTCCCCAACATGGGGCCCGAACCCACAACCCTGAGATTAAGAATCTACTGCTCCACCAACTGAGCTACCACCCTGTGATGGGTAAACTATGGTTTGTATTGTTCTTTGGGGGAAGCCACAGTAAATAAAGCCCTACTTTCTTTGAGAGAGTGTCTGTGTGTGTTTGTGGGTGTGTTTGCTTTACGGCACGTTTCACTAGCAGTTTCAATTACTTTCACTTTTGTTATGAATAAAACCAGACAAATTGGAATAGCCCAAGTCTTTGATTTATATTATAACAGTCTTTGGCAAAAGAAAAAATAAAAGGGGGGGGGGGAGCATTATTATTGCTTAGAATACAATGCAAGTAAAAGGCATTCACAGATTGCCATGTAGTATTCCAAAGTAATTTAATTGCATGCCTTGTCATGTTAATCCTATCTAAAAAGCGTTTTTTGTCATTGATGCTGTTAAAAATATTTTGAAACCGAATTAGCAATACAATATTAAAACCGAAGTCTTCATCCTTCGAAATAGCCCAATAATTTAGAAGCAATTACATTGTCAATAATTTGAAGAAGTAACTATTCAAACATCATGATAAACCATGATTTTGAGATGTTGAGAACAAGCCACACTCAGCACTGGGCTCCCACTTTCCCCTGATCTTCCTTCATCATGGCTGGCAGGGAAGCTTTCATTCCCATTTTTGATTAACCACGGTTTAGTGTTACATCCAAACCCTACACTGTGGTTAATCTTAGAACACTGACTTGGAATTGACCTCCAACTTCATCTAACGCCCTGCATCAGCTTAAAGCATGGAACGAATTATAGTTTCTTGCTATTCATAGTTTGAAGTTAGCTTGGTTTTGGGGGGTTTTAAAGCAATAGTTAAGATCAACCACCATTTGTCAGGATTGGATGAAATGATAGGCTGTGGTTTATTTAAAAAGGCTTCTGAACATCTCTCAGAGGCACTGGAGGAAGACAGGGGAGACTAGAGTGTCTAGGTGTGCATCGTAATTTCAGCTAAGATCTGGTAATGGGAAACTTTTGGTGGTCCTGCCATTCCTTAGACTGGGAGCAAGTGGCAGTACAAGCCCTTTAAACTTCAGAATCAGCTTCCTAGTACTTTACTCAGAGTTTTAAAGATTATGTAGTTGGATAATGACAACACTTACATACCTATATACTAGCCAAGCATATATGGATTTATAGTTGCTTGCATATATAGTGACATAATACAGTGGTACCTCCGGTTAAGAACTTAATTCGTTCTGGAGGTCCATTCTTAACCTGAAACTGTTCTTAACCTGAAATACCACTTTAGCTAATGGGGCCTCCTGCTGCTGCGGCACCATGGTGGTGCAATTTCTGTTCTCATCCTGAAGCAAAGTTCTTAACCCGAGGTACTATTTCTGGGTTAGTGGAGTCTGTAACCTGAAGCGTCTGTAACCTGAAGCATCTGTAACCCGAGGTACCACTGTATACCTTTCATTTTTGTTCTATATTTCTTTATATTACTACATTATACTTTATATTTCTACACTTTATATTTCTGCATTATTTTGTTCGGCTTAAATACCATCAATATTTTTTTTTAAAAGATTAGCTTTCTTTTATTATTACTGTTTATTGCTCTAATGCAGATTCTTGATTTTATCCAGTACCCCATAGTTTTATTGCAGCGTGATTTTCCTCGTGTTGTTAATTTTGTTTCTGTGTACCTCGCTTTTCAAGAGTAATAATAATAAAACAGGCTGCAGGTTTCATTACTTAAACTACTGTAGGCTGTTGTCAGGCTGATTTATAATGCAGAACAAATACCGCCTATTTGCAGTGCAGTTGGATGCTGCTGAAAGTAGGTGAGGCCATCACCCTGAGAGACTAGGAACCACAGGGAATTAAATTCCCATGTTGCCCAACTTTCCTGGGCATCGCAGCACATGTCCACAGCAGCATCCCAGCTTCTGCAAACCACAGGAACTACATTTTTCATGGCTCCTGGCATCGCTTAATGCTGACCCAAAGTACACGGAACCCTAGTATGGTAGTTTCTTGGAGCGCTCCTCTCTGTCCCCAACCCACCTCAATAAGTTTGGGGAAATTAGGGGCAGTGGGAAAGGCTGGAGAATCTCCACAGCCAAAATGGATCCGTTTCAGAATCAAACTCCATCCCCCTCACCTCCCTCCCACATGCCCACATACACCTTTCTGCATATTACAGTGGTACCTTGGGTTACATACGCTTCAGGTTACAGATGCTTCAGGTTACAGACTCCGCCAACCCAAAAATAGTACCTCAGATTAAGAACTTTGCTTCAGGATGAGAACAGAAATTGTGTTCTGGCGGCGCGGCGGCAGCAGGAGGTCCCATTAGCTAAAGTGGTGCTTCAGGTTAAGAACAGTTTCAGGTTAAGAACGGACCTCCAGAACGAATTAAGTTCTTAACTCGAGGTACCACTGTACTGCATTTTCTTTTCACAAAATTGCAACATTCACAGAGCTCTTAGACAAAGCTGAAGAAAACAATTGAGCATTAGGCTGAAAAATGCCAATCATAAGGAACATATTTTGTCACCGGATTCTGCAATTGCGCTCATGTGGAAAAGAACCTAGTAAGCAAAACAGGCATGCAAAAGTCAGCCTAAAATCAGAACTTCTCTCTACGGGTGTTTCCCAATTCCAATTCCATCCAACCTGGTTATCCCATTCAAGGATGAAAAATTGCAAGGCTGGACTCACAGTCCATAGGAAGGAATAGTACTAAAGAATCCCAACCGTCTTTTTCCCCCTTCTCCTTTCCTCAAATTGCCATCTGCTAAATGAAGGGCTACCTCATCTCCTGGGCTTACCATTCTGAAGCTCTGGGTAGCCTTCGTTTCCATGGTCCGCAATAAGTCTCGGAGGTTTCGTATTCCTTTTACGATGTTGCTAAGAGGAAGGAAACGGCAAGAAATGTAAATTAGATTTGATTGTGAACTAACACGATGAAGAGAGAGAGGAAAAAACAGAACATCTCTGACATTTCAAAAAAAAAAATACCCAATGACGCTCAGGTTGGGCTAATCGTAATAAAAAACAAATGAATGAGACCTTCGAAGGATAGCTCATCCCAGATGGTGGAATATGAGACGGACTCTGATGAGTACAGGAGACATTTGGAAGCTTTTCCTGCATCCTGTTTTAAAGCTCTTTTGAAGGATAGCATCTTATCGCTTTGTCCTTGGCACATAAGATGAGGTTCAGTGGTTCAAGCAGCAGTCTAGGAGTACAGACTTGGACCCACACCTCCACTCACCCATAAAGGTCACTGGATGATCTTGGTTGGACCAAGCTCAACAGCTTAAGTCTCTTCTACCTCACAGTGTTGCCACGATGGTGAAATGATGACAAAATGATGATAACTACTCTATTTAGAGGGGACACGGGTGGCGCTGTGGGTTAAACCACAGAGCCTAGGACTTGCCGATCAGAAGGTCAGCGGTTTGAATCCCCGCGACGGGGTGAGTTCCCATTGCTCAGTCCCTGCTCCTGCCAACCTAGCAGTTCGAAAGCACGTCAAAGTGCAAGTAGATAAATAGGTACCGCTCCGGCGGGAAGGTAAACGGCATTTCCGTGAGCTGCTCTGGTTCGCCAGAAGTGGCTTAGTCATGCTGGCCACATGACCCAGAAGCTGTACGCCAGCTCCCTCAGCCAATAAAGCGAGATGAGCGCCGCAGCCCCAGAGTCGGCCACGACTGGACCTAATGGTCAGGGGTCCCTTTACCTTACTCTATTTAGAACTTAAAAATGGAAAGCGTAATGGTGATGGTCAACAAAAGAGGTTTAAAGACTCTCTCAAGGCAAATCTAGAAAAAAAATGTAGCATGAACACTGACAAATAGGAAACACTGGCCTGCGAGTGCTCCAATTGGAGAATAGCCTCTACCAAAGGTGCCATGGGCTTTGAAGACGCTCGAACTCAGGATGGAAGGGAGAAATGTTCTAAGAGGAAGGCACATTTGGCAAATCCTTACCGTGATCAACTCCCACCTGGAAACCTATGTCCCCACTGTGGAAGGATGTGTGGATCCCGAATTGGCTTCCACAGTCACTTACAGTCTCACTGTTTTAAAACCGTGCTCATGGAAGACAATCTTACTCGGCTACGAGTGATCACCAAAGAAGAAAATGGAATTGGGGTGGGGAGTGCGGAACTATGTATGCCGTAGACCAGGGCTTCCGAAACTTGGGGCTCCAGCTGTTTTTTTGGACTACAACTCCCATCATCCCTAGCTAGCAGGACCAGTGATCTGTGATGATGGGAACTGTAGTCCAAAAATAGGTGGAGACCCAAGTTTCGGAAGCCATGCCATAGACATAACAAGAGCTCCACAACCTCCAGTTGCTTAGAACTACAACTTCCATCATCCCTAACCATTGACAATGCTGGCTGGGGTTGATGGGAACTGTAGTCCACAACATTTAAAGGGCATTGGGCTGGGGCAGGCTTCTATAGGTTGTGTAAAGAAACCTATAGACTTCCTTCTTCTTGAATGAAGAGTATTTTGCAGGCCTATTTTATGAACAGAAGTGCCTGAATGGATCGTTGTTTATGTTACAACGTACTAAAGAACATGTCCTCTGATGAAGCCCTTTCTTCCCAAATCTGACGGCTACTTAACAATTTATATTGCAGGACGCGTGCGTTCATTGCAGACCACCAGGTCTGAAGCATCTAAATTCACTGAAAACAAATATATGTAGCCACATCAGCTGGTGATAGTAATTCAGGCACCGGTGTCTTCAAGATGGGGTTACCACAGTGCACTTCGTATGAGGATGCACTTGACCTGGAAAGTGCAGAATACTGCAGGGGGGTTTCTGACAGAAGCGAGACCCTGCCGCCATATAACACCTCTGCTAACAGATCTGCATTGCCTGCCAATTTGCTGCCTTGCCAAGTTCAAGGTGTTGCTATTAGTATATAAAGCCCTTATATAGGGACGCGGGTGGTGCTGTGGTCTAAACCACTGAGCCACTTGGGCTTGCTGATCAGAAGGTCAGCGATTTGAATCTCCATGACGGAGTAAGCTCCCGTTGCTCCATCCCAGCTCCTGCCAACCTAGCAGTTCGAAAGCACACCAGTGCAAGTAGATAAATAGGTACCACTGCAGTAGGAAGGTGAACGGCGTTTCTGTGCGCTCTGACTTCCGTCACTGTATCCCGTTGCACCAGAAGCGGTTTAGTCATGCTGGCCACATGACCCGGAAAGCTGTCTGTGGACAAACACCGGCTCCCTCAGCCTGAAAGCGAGATGAGCGCCGCAACCCCATAGTCACCTTGGACTGGACTTAACCATCCAGGGGTTCTTTACCTTTACATAAGGCCCTTAACAGCTGTGGGACAGTTGACTTGTGGGATCTCCTTGCCCAAATATATGTCCCCTGGACCACTTCGATCTGTGGAACCAGCAGCTCCGGATGTTGCTGGACTAGCTCTCCCATTATCCCAGACCATTGGCTATTCTGGTAGGGCTGATGGGAGTTGGAGTCCACCAACACAGGTCCCTCCATCCTCAGTATAGTTCCCAATTCATTCGTATGATTAGATAATAGTTTCCCAAACTTGGGTCTCCAGCTGTTGTTGGAGACCCAAGTTTGGGAAACCCCAGATTAGATGTTTAAACTCTGTGTCCATTCAACTTTTTTAAAGAATTGCTGTTGTTTTTTAATTAAATTTATATACTACCCTTCATCATAAGATCTCAGGGCAGTTCACAGAATAAAATACAAGACAAAAACACAAGCAAATGATCAAATCAAAACAAAGGCTGTAGAATATTGATCTGCCAAAGGCCTGGTTGAAGAAGAATGCTTTCGCTTGGTGCCTAAAATATATAATGAAGATGCCAGGTGAATGTCCCTGGAATTCTATGTTCGTCCTTTGCATTACCTGGAATTTATGCCATGGCCTGGAAAGAAATGATGGGAGCAGAGGGGAGAGAGATTGGCTTTCTGCTTCCCCAAATGGGTTAGACTAGACAGTTGATAAAGCTCCCTCTAATTTTTATGATTTTGTGCTTCGTTGTACTATGTTGTTAACCACTCTGGTTCTTATGGGAGGACAGCAGGGGAAATAATAATGATACATTAGCAGCCCGTCTCCTTGTAAGAACTCTACATTATTTAGAGCATTTTCCCAAATAATTCCACTTCTGGAAATAGAAACCACTCCGCTCATATAATAATGACCACAATCAAGTGTCCCTCCCCTGTTCCAAAACGTCAAGAGTCTTGACTTATAAAGGGGTCTTCTTGTGCCCCCTTGTGGCAGAAAAAGAAATGTGTGCCACTATATGACTTGTCTTCTCCCACCCTTTGTGTTGAAAACCAAATTTTAAGGGAAATGATTCACATTCCGAGAGCAGAAACACAGCTCAGCTTTCTTATAGTTCAGGGATGTAGGCTGATGCTTCCACTAATGGTTCACTCAGGCTTGTGATTAAATGACACCTAGTTCTGCAGTCCTATGAGCACTGATTTGGGAGTAAGTTTGCACAGAACACAGGGTTGACGTAGATTTTAGGGGTTCCTAGAGGAACACCCCCAATCAGGCACAAAAGCACTGTGCATGTATGTGCCTGGGGCTCTTTTCTCACTAGGTAAAGGTAAAGGACCCCTGGATGGTTAAGTCCAGTCCAAGACGGTTGTGGGGTTGCAGCGCTCATCTCGCTTTCAGGCCGAGGGAGCCAGCGTTTGTCCACAGATAGCTTTCCGGGTCACGTGGCCAGCAGGTAAAGGTAAAGGGACCCCTGACCATTAGGTCCAGTCGTGGCCGACTCTGGGGTTGCGGCGCTCATCTCGCTTTATTGGCTGACGGAGCCGGCGTACAGCTTCCAGGTCATGTGGCCAGCATGACTAAGCCGCTTCTGGCGAACCAGAGCAGCGCATGGAAACGATGTTTACCTTCCTGCCAGAGCGGTACCTATTTATCTACTTGCACTTTGACGTGCTTTCGAACTGCTAGGTTGGCAGGAGCCGGGACCGAGCAACGGGAGCTCACCCTGTCGCGGGGATTCGAACTGTCAACCTTCTGATCGGCAAGTCCTAGGCTCTGTGGTTTAACCCACAGAACCACTTTTGATGCAACAGGACACCGTGATGAGTGCCAGAGTGCACATAAACGCCTTTTACCTTCCCGCCGCAGCAGCACCTATTTATCTACTTGCACTGGTGTGCTTTCAAACTGCTAGGTTGGCAGGAGCTGGGACAGAGCAACGGGAGCTCACCACGTTGCGAGGATTCGAACTGCTGACCTTCTGATCGGCAAGCCCAAGAGGCTCAGCGGTTAGGGTGTCAGATCAGGACCTAGGAAATGAAGGTTCAAATCCCCACTCAGTCACGTCTGGGTGATTTGGGGTCCGTCAACGCCTCTCAGTCTAACCTACCTCACAGGGTTGTTTGTTGTGAGGTGAACTGGGCAGGGGGAGAGTCATGCGTGCCAGCTTGAGCTTCTGAGAGCATCTTGGCTGTGAGTCTTAGAAGAGCTTCTCCCTGCTTGCAAGCCTTTTTCTACCTGGCCTGGGAGGGCGGGGCCCGGACTGACTCCAGCTGCAAAAGCTGAGGCTGCTGAACAGACACTGGGGCTGAAGTATTGTTTAGGGGTTTTTGTTATGGGGGTGTTGTTGCTGCTATTGATTTTTTTTTTTTGTATCATCCTTACGATTTTTTTTGTATCATCCTTACGATTTTTTGTGTATCGTTCTTATTATTTATGTGGAAATTGTTTCAATTTGGTTGTGTACGTTGTGGTGTTTTTTATGATTACTTTTGTTATGTTTGCAAATTACGTATTTTTTCCATGTCGTAAGCTGCCTTGAGTGTGGTTTTAACTGAGATAATAGAAATAAATAAATAAATAAATTTTATTATTTATATCCCGCCCACTCTGGGTGGTTCAAAGGCAGAATAGTAAATACACAATAAAACATCAAACATTTAAAAATTTTCCTATACAACGTACAGAAAAGGCAACATACAAATGAAATTATGAGTGTATGTATTTTATGGAAGGAAAGCTGTGATATAAATGCAATAAACATTTAATAAATAAACTAACAGCTGCACCGGTTTGACCAGGGGTTTCAGTCCTTGTCCTCTTGCATTTTATTTCTGATCAATTCCATAAAAATGGCTGTTGGGGTGTGCGCTTCTGTCTGTCTGAAAGGGAATTTAACAGAGCCCAGGTTTAATGGATAAGTAGGCTCTTGAGCTCCACCAAGGGTCAAGGGAATGGGATACCCTCTGCTCTCTGAATAGTCTTGCTTCTGCTTGGGTTCAGAAGGAATATAAGCGAATGGGAGTTGCAGTCTACCTGAGAGCCTCTTGCAAGACTGGCCTACCCTGCTTGGCAGTTGTGTCAGCAAGGGAGGCAAAACCCTCCTTCCACTTCAGGACTGTCCAAGGGGATTTGTTTGAACACCCCTTCCATTTTGCAGCAATGTGTTGCACTGGTTCAGAGGTCATGGCACCTTTTTCTGTCTATGCTTTGCATCAGAAGCCTGTTACGTGAAACCACGCTCAGCATCAGTCATTCGAAATGGCAGAGAACCTGCATCCACCTACCCTCTTTTCAAATGGGCCACGTAAGCGCTCTGCAGGGCTGCTTCCAGGAAGTAAGGCAGCTCAAAGTCCAAGGCCGACGCTTGAGTGCCCTTTATGCCTCTCGGATGCGTGTTGCCGAAGCTCTGAGGGGGGGGGGAGAGGCGTCATTGTTTGCAGGTGAGCAGGAGCCGCCCTTTGGCTAAAACTGTGTCTTTATTTTTCCTCCCGAAAGGACAGAGAAATTGGCTAACGTTTGGAAACCGAGACGAGGCAGAGACAAACTGAAAATTGCACTAAATCATCTGTGTTGTTTCGCTTGGCTATTTTTGCACTGTTTTCACAGGCAAGATGCCTGCATTTCTCAGAAAACCTCCGTATACTTCTGGCAATTTGCTGCAGAGCTTGGGACCCATCAAGCTAAACAGCAGACTCACAAAAGATAATAATAATAATAATAATAATAATAATAATAATAATAATAATTTATTTATACCCCGCCCTCCCCAGCCAAGGCCGGTTTTAGAGAAAAGATGTTTCTCTAGGGCCTCAAGAACCCCAATTTTTGGTGCCTGCCTAGAACAGGAGGATTGCCAAGAACTTTGCAGGCTCAACTGCACAGCTGTTGGGCTTGTTCAGCTGAGTGCGCCCAGGCCTGGATTAACCATGTAACATCTCTATGACTCATAGGAGGGAAGCATCTAACTAGTATGTACTGTATAATGCCACACATGCACATAGAAATCATTGAAATGCATTAAAATAGATACTTTACAATGAACAAATATATTTAAAACAAGAAGGTATTTAAATGTAAATAATTCATTGCACACACAGGAAATATATCACTGAAAAAAATGAAAATACCGATTTACGTAAATTTTGCATATGCAGATCTTCACGTGCAAGTGTAGGTACAAATTTAGAAATACAGTGGTACCTCGGGTTACAGATGCTTCAGGTTACAGACCCCGCTAACCCAGAAATAGTACCTCGGGTTAAGAACTTTGCTTCAGGAGAGAACAGAAATCGTGCTCCGGCAGCGCGGTGGCAGCGGGAGGCCCCATTAGCTAAAGTGGTATCTCAGGTTAAGAACAATTTCAGGTTAAGAACAGCCCTCCGGAACGAACTTAGTTCTTAACCCGAGGTACCACTGTAACTATAATTTCTAAATAACTCACAGTTAGAAATAACTATAAGTGGAAATACAGCGCATAGGTATAGATGCAAAATTAGAAATCATTACAGTGGTACCTTGATTCCTGAATGGCTTGGCTCCCAAACAAATCAGCTCCTGAACGTTGCAAATCCAGAAGTAAGTGTTCCTATTTGGGAACGTTTTTTGGAAGCCAAATGTCTGTTTCGGCTGTTGGCATTGTTTCCGGGGCCAATCAGCCAACCAGAAGCCGTGCCTCAGTTTGCGAACATTTTGGAAGTCAAACGGACTTCCAGAATGGATTGAGTTCGGGAACCAAGGTACCACTTGGTACCACTGTATAGTGGTACCTCGGGTTAAGTACTTAATTCATTCCAGAGGTACCACTGTACTACAATTCAAACAGAAATGCTACACATCTCACGATACAGAAAGGGGACTTCTGTGTCTCCTCTGGCCGCTGTTCAGGTCCTGCTAAATATCGAGGGAAAACTTAAAAGTCCAATAAAAGTTCCATATTATAATTATTTGATTTAAAAGCAAATGACCCTTCAAACACTCATTCAAAGGGAGGATTGTCCTCTCTAGGAGACATACCATAGGGATATCAGAGAGCCTTGGAGGCTTCCCATCTCCTAACATTCAGGAAGTGCTAAAAGGACCTTTGAAGGAGGCTTTTGTTTACCTTCTCGAGTTCCTGTAGAAACACTTGAGCCATCACACAGGCCCTTTCAAAGCAAACCATGACTTCTTCCTCACGTTCGGAGAGGCGGGCGCGGGAAGCGATGGAATTGGGCGAGCGCTCCAGCGCCAAGCCTGTAAGGAGAGCAACAGCAAGTTCTTATTAAAGCCAAGATGGAAATTGCCTATGAACAGTTGTCACTTAATGTATTACGTCGTGTCACCTTCACTCCATCCACTCACATGCACACCTTGCAACTTCCCGTACAACCCACTCTTGCACCTGCACAAGGTCTTGTTTATCCTCATCGCCACCAGTGGCCACCATTTCTGAAACTACAGTGGTAGCTCAGGATGAGAACGGGATCCGTTCTGGAGCCCCGTTCGCATCCTGAACAGAACGTAAGACGTGACTGTGCGTCTGTGCACGCGGGGGTCGCGTTTTGCCACTTCCGCGCATGCGCGTGACATCATTTTGACCGTCTGCACATGCGCGAGCGGTGAAACCCGGAAGTAACGCGCTCTGTTACTTCCGGGTCGCGGCAGAGCACAACCCGAAAATACTTATCCTAAAGCGTATTTATCCCGAGGTATGACTATATAGCTCGCGTATTTCCGCTCTAACTCCCTAGATGCTTTTCACTGGGGAAATGACTCTATATTCTAAGAATCGCCTTACCCAATATATGCCCACTTGGGACACCTTGATCTGCAGAGGATGGACTTTTCCAGATGCCACAGAATACTTATTTCACAGTCCCCCCCCCCAAAAAAATCAACCTTTTAGTGTGTCAGCAGTTACACTTTGGAACTCCCTGCCAATTGATCTCAAGCAGCTGTCTTTGCTGTAGTCTTTCTCCACCTTTCTTCTCCCCCAACCTTATACTATATATAACATTAATGCCTCACGTCAAACGTAACTGATCTGTAGAAAAGACTCTTTAACCTGAAAATAGAGACAATGCATGTACTTTTGTAACCCAAGAAAATATTTAATAAAACCTACTTTTTTTCTTAAAAATAAAATAAAAATCTTCTAGCAATCCTATCCAGGTGACATGTGTTTTCATCTGATTTTAGCTTATTGTTTATTTTGAATATTTAAATAGCTGCTTTAACAGTATTTTACTGATAATTTCATCATCATCATCATTTACCACTTTGAGGTGGTGGTGGTTGTTTTTACAGCTTAGTGGTATACAGTCATACCTCGGGTTACAGATGCTCCAGGCTGTGTTTCTTTGGGTTATGGACCACTGAAACCCGGAAGTACCGGAACGGTTTACTTTCAGGTTTTGGTGGTTGCGCATGCGCAGAAGCGCCAAATCGGAACCCGCAGATGCGCCGCTGCGGGTTGCAAACGCTGCAGGTTGCGAACGTTCGCAATCCGAGCATCCACCGTATAAAGTTTGTTAAATAAAATAAACAAATACATCCCTGAGCATTGACCATGCAGGCAGAGAATGATGGGAACTGGAGCAGACCTTACTGAGGAAAGTGGGCCAATTGTCAGATTCAAAACAAGGCAGCACCTGCTCCTCGTTTTTGCCTCTTTCAACCACTCACACCTCTGCACCACACACAGGATTTCGTCCTCTGCCCTGCCTTCGCGGAAACTGCACAGAATGTACAGAGGAGGTGTTGGGAATGAGAAAAGCCCTTCCCTTTATTTTTCCTGTCCCTGAAAAGGATGCTCTCTCCACCACACAAAGCTGCTGAGGGGCGAAGAACAAAGCATCACAAGACTCAACACACACAAATAAAGAACAGGCAAACATCCACATGCATGCAACTCATGACAAATCGTATTTAAAACGGAAGATCTGAAGAGATGTTCCCTTGCCTCACTTCTGTGTAGCTTCAGGAGGAAGAGGAAGAAGAAGAAGAAGAAGAGACAGAATGGAGGTGGGCAAAGCTGTGGTCCTCCAAATGTTGCTGGACTACAACTCCCATCATCCATGACCATTGGACATGCTGGTGGACCTGATGGGAGCTGGGAGTCCAACCCCTGCTTTAAACAGATTTAAAATCCATATGGTTTTAATTCTATCCATGTTTAATCGTATTTTAATGATTTGATTTTTTCTAGGTTTGGGGCCGTTCTTGTTTTCATCTGTAAGCCGCCTTTAGGGGAAACGGTGGGGCTACAACTAAATATACAATAAATAATAACACCTGGAAGGCTACAAGATCCTCATCCCCGAGATAAGAGCATTCTGCCTCACATTGGGCCAAAGGGGAGGTGAAGTTGCCACATCGCCAATTTAACTTGCTGCAGGACTGCAGAAAAATATATATATGCACAGCTTTGCTGTCTTCCACATGCAGCACCATATGCATTTTCTCACGTCCTCCCACACAGGCACAAACATGCAAAAGCATAAAGAAGCATTATTGGCCGAGGGAGCCGGCGTACAGCTTCCGGGTCATGACTAAGCCGCTTCTGGCGAACCAGAGCAGCGCATGGAAGCGCCGTTTACCTTCCTGCCGGAGCAGTACCTATTTATCTACTTGCACTTTGACATGCTTTCAAACTGCTAGGTTGGCAGGAGCAGGGACCAAGCAATGGGAGCTCACCCCGTCGCGGGGATTCGAACCGCCGACCTTCTGATCAGCAAGTCCTAGGCTCTGTGGTTTAACCCACAGCGCCACCCGCGTCCCAGTGTATGGAATAGGGTGTCCCTGTTTTCATGGGAGAACTGTTGGAGGGTATGATATTTAGGCCTTGGATGACACTTGCAGCTTGGGCCATTTTAGTAAACCGAGGCTGTTTTAAGGAACTGATCTTTCCACAACAACAACTAACACCTGTGTCCCTCCCTAGAGATCAGTTATTCTTTCCCCACACTGCTTGCATGTTGTTCTGGTCAGGATGCAACAGCTCCCTCAGGGATGTTACAAGGTCTACTCAGGTCAGGCAACAACAAAAATAGCCCAAGAACTCCAGTGTCTGCGTATACTGCAAACCGCCCTTTGATCCTCAGATGAAGGGCGGTACATAAATTGAATAAATAAATTCGCTACCATGGGTCAACGTCTGTCCATCCTAGATTACACCGACTGACCTGGTCTTAAGAGAAAACGTTAGGCCAATGACTTGCAGTCTTAAGCATGTCTGTCTGCTCAGCGGGAAACACAATTGTGCTCTTAGGGGCTTAATCCCCAACAGACTCTGTTTAAACAATTTATAAGCCGCTTATCTCCCAGAGTGGTTCACAAGGATATAACCTCAATAATAATAATAATAAATCAGTTATAAAATCAAACATTGATTAAATGCTTGCTGGAATAAGTCTTCAGCAGGGGCCTGAAGTTCAGAAGGTAGGAGACCTGTTTGACCTTGGCTGGGAGGGAGCTTCCATAAAATTAGGCCCACAATACTGAATGCACAGCTCCTGGTGGATGCAAGCTATGCACCTGAGCCCTGAAGGGCCACTGACAGTGACTCCTGCAAAAACCTCCTTGATCAGCCACAGATATAAGGGATTAGGTGGTCCTTGAGGTATCCTGGACCCAAATTGTTAAGGGTCTTCTAAATGAATGCAAGAACTTTGAACCTGGTCTGATAGCATATGGGCAGCCACAGCAGACTTTTGAGCACTGGAGTTATATGTGTTTTGCACAAACCAGAGCTTCTGAACCAGGCACGAGGGAAGCCCCACATAAAGTGCATTACAATAACTGAGCCTTCAGGATACTCTGCTCCACAAAAAGTTTATGCCATAATAAATTTGTCGGCCCTTAAGGCAATCCAGCAGAGGTGGGGAACTTCTTTCAACCTGAGGGCCTTCAACTTCTACCAAATGGCTGTCTCCTTCAAGCCTGAGCTCAATGGAGGACCAATGGTGCAAGAAATATTGTGGTAGTTAAGCCCAGTGCTTTTTTTCCCTTAAAAGAAAAAAAAATGTTTAGGGGTACAGTATTCTCATTTTCCTACTCATATTGAATTGCTGCCCCTCAAAGAGGCCAGACTTCAGTTCACAAAATGTTTAGGGGTATGCATCCCCCCCAGAAAAAAAGCACTGGTTAAACTACAGTCATACCTCGGGTTAAATATGCTTCGAGTTGAGCGTGTTCAAGTTGCACTCCTCGGCAACCCGGAAGTAACGGAGCACGTTACTTCTGGGTTTCACCGCTTGCACGTGCGCAGATGCTCAAAATGATGTCACGCGCATGTGCAGAAGCAGCAAAAAGCTGTGCGCGCATGCGCAGACGTGCCATCGCTAGTTACGTTTACCTCTAGATGTGAACGGGGCTCCGGAACGGATCCCGTTCGTATCTAGAGGTACCACTGTACTCTGGGAACTGTAGCTCTGTGAGAGGAATACAATGGTACCTCAGGTTACATACGTTTCAGGTTATATACGCTTCAGGTTACAAACTCTGCTAACCCAGAAATAGTACCTCGGGTTAAGAACTTTGCTTCAGGATGAGAACAGAAATCGTGCGGCGGCGGGAGGCCCCATTAGCTGAAGTGGTACCTCAGGTTAAGAACAGTTTCAGCTTAAGAACAGACCTCCAGAACGAATTAAGTTCTTAACCCCTCTTAGACACCTTTCATTCTACCTGGAAAGCTTCCCTGTTTGAAAAGATAAGAAGCTTGGGATTCTCCCCGCAGATCTTGATAGCGGCAGGATATGAGAGAGCCAGAAGTCAAGTGCTCCAACGCATTAGGGACATAGAGCTGCAATGTCATACGGGCAAAATGGATAAACATGCCACAATTAGAGACTTTGGGAGAGGGTTCTCACCCGCAAATTATCTGGCTGATTTACAAATACCTAAGTACAGACACTCCTTTACCCTGGCCAGATTTAACGTTTTGCCCTCTGCTCTGCTGCTAGGCAGATATGAGGGCAAACCATATGAGTCACGTGTTTGCCCATGTGGCTCATCGGAAGTGGAAACAAGTCTGCATGTATTGCTGCACTGTAGTTACTACGAGGATCTACGCCTGACCTTTATTGCCCCAGTTCTACAAAAGCTTAAAAATGAACCAGAACTCCAACGTATGAGAGCCTTGGTAGAAGATAAGGTTCCTGAAATTACGATCAATGTTGCCAAATTTTGTGTAGCCGCTATTAGGCGCAGGAAACAAGAGCTTTCCAATGTCAACATGCAGGCGAAGGCAAATACTTAATTTTATTTATGCTGTCTAATTTTAAATTGCTGTTATGGCCTAATCTGTATTGAAATTGTCCTTTGTTTTTTCCGGTGTTATGTTTCGCTGACTAGCTGTACGAGTTAATCTGGTCTGTGACCATTTAATAAAATTTGATTTGATTTGATTTGGTTCTTAACCCGAGGTACCACTGTAGGGGTCTCCTGACAACTCTCAGCACCCTTAACAAACTATGGTCCCCAAAATTATTTGCAGGAAGCAATGGCCGTTTAAACTGGCATCATGGCGCTTGAAACGTCTGCTGTGGACGTGGTCTCACTCACAAAGCTCTCCTTTCCAGATGTCATTATCCAGCAAGGTTTACCCCTTCTGCTAGATATGCACAGAAGCCAACAAAGCAGCGAAACTATCAAGACACATCAAGCGTGCAGAAAGATCAACATGCTCACATCAAAGTGACCACCGGTGCACTCACTGCAAGGCTCATTCCAATGGTACATGTGGAGTTCAGTTTCAAGCTTTACATACCAGTCGGAGGTATCTGATCATCCCAGAGCTCCCATCCACCTAACAAGCTGGAAGGCATGCTGAAAAGGAGGAGAATAGGAAAGGTAGATCGACAGAGAGAGAGATAGCAACTATTCCAGCAACACTCATATAAAGAAAAGCACGGATGGCAAACAGAAGATGAAGATTGCAAGAGGGTTTTTACAAAGTTCCTCCAGAAAAATAACGCATTCCTACGACACCCAACTCCCACCAAATGAAATAGGGTTAACAGGCATCAAGAAATATATTTTCCTCCACACACACACACACCCTGAAGCCTGAAAAAGCAGCAAGGACAAATGCAAAGTGTAACGCAGAAGGAAAAAGAGCCATGTGATTCAGATAACTAGCTATGCACTACCGAGAAAAGTGAGAGGTTAAGGCAAAAAAGCCAACAGTGGGGTAATGCAGCAAAAAAAGCTAACGTCATTTTAAGGTAAAGGGACCCCTGACCATTAGGTCCAGTCGTGACGGACTTTGGGGTTGCGGCGCTCATCTCGCTTTATTGGCCGTGGGAGCCGGCGTACAGCTTCCGGGTCATGTGGCCAGCATGACTAAGCCGCTTCTGGCGAACCAGAGCAGCACACAGAAACGTGGTTTACCTTCCCGCCGGAGTGGTACCTATTTATCTACTTGCACTTTGACGTGCTTTCGAACTGCTAGATGGGCAGGAGCAGGGACCGAGCAACGGGAGCTCACCCCGTCGCGGGGATTCGAACCACCGACCTTCTGATCAGCAAGTCTTAGGCTCTGTGGTTTAACCCACAGCGCCACCCGCGTCCCAACGTCATTTTAGGCTGCATGAAAAAGAAGGATCCTGACTCCAAGAGGCAGGGGGTGGTGCCAGTCTGGACTGGTAAGGTATCAGCAGCAGCAGCAGTTGCCTTCAACCTTTTCAGATGTCATGCTTTCTTGTAACCCTGACACACAAAATCATTACCATCACCAAATAGTTCCAGCAGACGTGGGCAACCCATTACCTTTGATTACAAAAGCTTCTGTCAGCAGCCGCAGCATATACAAAGGCTTCTTCTCCACCGCGATGTCATCAAGGCCAGCTCTTGCATACATGCTGAGAGCATCCCTGTAAGAGCCCTCGACATAATGGAGCTTCGCCAGGATCAGCATGGCTTCTGTCAAATCTTTTGGCTGCAGAAATGAAACGATTTCCATCAATAATCCATCAGACCCCCAACCGGAACAATGCAATGTTGACATTCAGCCCCAATCCTGAATTCAAGGAGAATCAAGTGCCTCGATGCACAAGCCTTGTGAGCTTTGATGTATACACTGAGCTGTGATAAGCAAAGGCATTTTCATTCCTTTGAAAGAAATATATCCATAGATCTGCCTGCGCACTGTCTCGCCAGAGTGGTACATGCTCCGGTTATCTCCTGCTTGGACTACTGCAATGTGCTCTACATGAGGCTACCTTTGAAGGTGACTCGGAAACTACAACCAATCCAGAATGCGGAAGCTAGACTGGTGACTGGGATCATATAACGCCAGTCCAATGCATTCTACCTTGGCTCCTAGTATGTTTCCGAGCACAATTCAAAGTGTTGGTGCTGACCTTTAAAGCCCTAAACAGCCTCAGTCCTGTATACCTGAAGGAGCGTCTCCACCCCCATCGTTCAGCCTAGACACTGAGGTCCAGCTCCGAGGGCCTTCTGGCAGTTCCCTCACTGCGAGAAGTGAGGTTACAGGGAACCAGGCAGAGGGCCTTCTTGGCAGTGGTAGCTGCTCTTCCCATCAGATGTCAAACAGATAAACAACTATTTGACTTTTAGAAGACATCCGAGGGCAAGTTTTTAATGGCTGATGTTTTATTGTGTTTTTTAATATTTTGTTGGGAGCCGCCCAGAGTGGCTGGGGCAACCCAGCCACCAATTGGAGCGGTGGCAATGAAACTTCCTGTGCCATCTCAGCTTAAATAAATGTATTGCCCCACCCAATGCAAATTGAACAGATTTTGGATATCCTCCCCAAAGCTGCCAAATATCCCTCCCCAATTTGTGGGGCATGAATGGCCCTGTGGAAGAGCGGGATAGTCAGCCACTCAAGGTTAAGCCACAAGCCCGGGTTTAGATATTGCAACAAGACAGACTCTGACTTGTTTCCTAGTGGCACAGCAGAAAAAAGTGCAGAGCAGGGGAGGAGCAGAGCAAGAACACTTCTCAGGATTATGTACCAGCATGTTTTGCATTCACATTAAAGCATAGTGTGTGTTTGTGGATTTGGATTTGATATCCCACTTTATCACTACCCGAAGGAGTCTCAAAGCGGCTAACATTCTCCTTTCCCTTCCTCCTCCACAACAAACACTCTGAGAGACTTCAGAGAAGTGTGACTAGCCCAAGGTCACCCAGCAGCTGCATATGGAGAAGCAGGGAAGCGAACCCGGTTCACCAGATTACAAGTCCACTGCTCTTAACCACTACACCACGCTGGCACACAAACACGTGTGTTTGTTTTCAATCTTTATTGAGTTTAGTTGATAACAAAACATTCTTATATATGGTATTTCAAAAATCTCATGTAGTTAAGCAAGAATGTATGGTGAAATGAACTGTACAGTGGTACCTCGGGTTAAGTACTTAATTCGTTCTGGAGGTCCGTTCTTAACCTGAAACTGTTCTTAACCTGAAGCACCACTTTAGCTAATGGGGCCTCCCGCTGCCGCCGAGCCGCCGGAACATGATTTCTGTTCTCATCCTGAAGCAAAGTTCTTAACCCGAGGTACTATTTCTGGGTTAGCGGAGTCTGTAACCTGAAGCGTCTGTAACCTGAAGCGTATGTAACCCAAGGTACCACTGTATAACAATGAAATGGCTTTTATTTGTAGCTTTTGAAATAGTGTTTGTTTTTAACTATAGTTTAAATGAAATCTGGGTGGAAAGAAATAGGTTTCTTTCCTGAATACTTTAATTTCCCCCCAAAAGCATAACGAAATTTTGGGAAACACCAAAAAAACCCTCATTTGCACTATTTTGTTCCCTTTCAGAATGTGAAGATGTTCATGTAAGATCTTTCAAACTGTGTGTCTGTGTAGGTTATTGTTATTGTTTGCTATTACATTATGCTTTTTGCATTTTTACATTGTAAACTGCCCTGTGATCTTCGGATACAGGGCAATATAGAAATTCAATAAATAAATAACAATGTGATGTGTGAAGCAGATCACAGAATCCTGCAGCAAGGACAATGGATTAGATCAGGCTTCCTCAACCTCGGCCCTCCCATGATCCCTAGCTAGCAGGACCAGTGGTCAGGGATGATGGGAATTGTAGTCTCAAAACATCTGGAGGGCTGAGGTTGAGGAAGCCTGTATTAGATTCTAGTGGAGGATTTTCTTCCCTCCTAAATGGAGCAAAAGGAAATGGAATTATTTACTGGAGTCTTTTATGAAACGCAGGACTGAGAGACAGATGGGTTCCAAGATTTCGTATCTGAGCCTTGCAATTGTGCATCATTAACAGCACATTAAATGCTCATGTTTTATGTCAGCCATGGACGCTTACCGGCAACTTCCCTCGGTTTAGAATGCCCGTCAAATACTTTTTGGCGTCGCTCATTTTGGGCTCGGATTTTTCCATTAATGGAACAGCGTCCTTGATTTTGGCAAGGTTCTCGTTCAAGCACAGCTCCAGCAGTGCCTCTGCAACTAAAAGGTTCCCATAGTCATCTGCAGGACAGAGTAGACAGAGTAAAGGAAAGTCACACACTCAATGTCATGTTCTCATCTATAGCAGGCCACAAAGATAAACACAGAAGTTATCCGCTATATAAACATTTTGTTACATAAGGAAGTTAAAATACTGAGAGCAAAAGTTATTCGCCTACAAAACAACAAGCTCAGACGATTCTCTGCTCATTTTTGGCACAGGCAACGACCATTTTGCACGTGTTCAAAGGGAATACAGATATTTTTCAGCCCTGAAAAATCTGTACTGGAAATGCATCGTATTTCAGCTACAAGGAATGGGCATAATTTTCTCGCCCTCTAGGAAGCTGGTAGATGCCAAATTGTATAGGTTGGTTTCAGACTTAAGGCAACGATCCTAGGGAGTAAACCTGTGAACACCAAGGAACTTACTTCTAAATAAGCATGCATAGGATCAACATTTTGCAATTAGGAAAACGAAAGGCTAACACACTAAAAAGTATGGGATGAAGGAATGCTTCATAGGGAAAAGGTGTAACCACCAGGCAAGCAAATTGTGATGAATACTCATAACTTTCTTGCAAACAAATCAGAAGGAATGTTCAAAAAAGACTGGGTCTAGTCTAACTTCCAGCAAGAATAGCACCACCAAGCCAAAGAATATATTGCTCTAAAATGAGAGCAGAGATAGGAGAACCGGTGGCCATCCAGGCGTTGTTGGACTTCAACTCCCATCAGCCTCAGCCAGCATGCCCAATGGTCAGGACTGATGGGAGCTGTAGTCCAGCAACATATGGTGGGCCACTGTTTCTTCCATCCGTGCTTTAGAGACACGACAAGTCACTGAGCTTACATGGGCAACTATTTTGCCAGCTGCCCAGCCACAGTCAAAATGAAGAAGGTTTCTGTTTGTATAAACATAAGTTGGAGGGAGGGAACAGCATACATTTTCTTACAGAAGTGCTTCTGCTCCAGTGGTGCTACCTGAGTAGATTCGAAGTGATTTCTTGCAAAGCACTCCAGCCTGCAAGAGGCACTCGTTTCAGCGGAAAGGAATGCAAAGCATACAAAAGGGAACGTAAGAGACGGCACCTCTGTTCAACCCAGAGGGGAAGCGCGCGCACTCGAACAGCTGCTTCGCGCGCAGTGGAGCACCTGCGGGGCTCTGGGTTATGGCAACAAGACACCATCCAGCGAAAGGCAAGTGTGCCGAGCTCCCAAAGCAATTAAACTGAACTTGAGCATGCAATGCACACAGAAAAGTCCTTCACTCTTCACCGTTGTTTGAAGTGCATACCGATGGGTCAACAGCAGTCTCCCTCAACCTGCTGCCCTCCAGACAGAACAACAGAATTGTAGAGTTGAGGGTCGGCTAGTCGACTACACTACAAGGCCGGAATCTCAGCTGAAGCATCCATGACAGGTGGCCATCCAACCTCTGCTTAAAAACCTCCAAGGAAGGACAGTCCACCACCTCTTGTGGGAGTCTATTCCACTGCTGAACAGCTTCCTGTCAGAAAGTTTCTTCCTGGAGTTTAGTCAGAATCTCCTTTCTTGTAACTTGAATCCACTGGTACAGGTTCTACCAGGAGAAAACAAGCTTGTTTCCTCTTCCATGCGGCAGTCCTTTAGATATTTAATGATGGCTATCATATCTCCTTTTAATCTACTCTTTACCAGACTAAACATACCTAACTCCCTTAACTCTTCCTCATAAAGCTTGGTTTCCAGGCCCTTTTGTTATCCTGGTCGCCTTCTCCTGCGCACATTCTAGCTTGTCAATATCCTTCTTAAACTGAGGGACCCAGATGTTTTGGACTCCAATTCCTATTAACCCTGCCTAGCACATGCTGGTGGGAGTTGTAGTCCATCCAAAACATCTGGGAGGCAGCAGGCTCGATAAGGCTGGTCTACCATGATGGTTTCAGCACTGGACCCCTTTCATAAAGGACAGTTCCGGTTTCAACCTAAATTAAAATCCATTTTCCCAGCCTGTGCCTAACAGATTGCTTGGTTAAACACACGGGTTCATCAGTCAATATTAGCTATTCTCGGTCTACAGTGGTACCTTTGGTTGCAAAAGGGATCAGTTCCGGAGGCCCGTTCGCAACATGAAAAGAACGCAACCCACAGTGGTGCATCTGCGCATGCGCGGGTTGCAATTTGCCACTTCTGCACATGCACGTTATGTCATTTTGCATGTCTGTGCATGCATGAGTGGCAAAACCCGGAAGTAACCCTTTCTAATACTTCCGGGTTGCCGTGGGACGTATCCTGAAAGAACGTAACATGAAGCGGACATACCGTAACATGACGTATGACTGTACATAACTCCATGCTCCTCTGCGGGGGTTTGGGGATGTGCCAGGTTGCCCTGGCTTCTACACAAACAGCAAGCATGTATCTAGTCACAACTGTACACATAAAGGCTGCCTCTATAGATGCTTGCACCGTGTTCGGGATACGGATGGCGCTATGGTCTAAGCCAATGAGCCACTTGGGCTTGCCGATCAGAAGGTCGGAGGTTCGAGTCCCCACAATGGGGTGAGCTCCCATTGCTCTGTCCCAGCTCCTGCCAACCTAGCAGTTCAAAAGCACACCAGTGCAAGTAGATAAATAGGTACTGCTGTGGCAGGAAGGTAAATGGTGTTTCCGTGCGCTCTGGTTTCCATCACGGTGTTCCGAAAAGCTGTCTGTGGACAAACGCCAGCTCCTTTGGCCTGAAAGTGACATGAGCGGCACACCCTATAGTCGCCTTTGACTGGACTTAACCGTCCAGGGGTCCTTTACCTTTTTACCTTGCACTGTGTGCACAGATACTAGGAGATATGACTTTTCATCACATTCCTGCTCCTATGTAGAGGAACACAGAAGCTATAATCGTTCAGCCCGGACACTGAGATCCAGCGCCGAGGGCCTTCTGGCGGTTCCCTCATTGCGAGAAGTGAGGTTACAGGGAACCAGACAGAGGGCATTCCCAGTAGTGGCGCCCGCCCTGTGGAACGCCCTCCCCTCAGATGTGAAGGAAATACGTAGCTATCTTATCTTTAAAAGACATCTGAAGGCAGCCCTGTTTAGGGAAGTTTTTTAATATTTAATGCTGTATTGTTTTTAACACTCAATTGGAAGCCACCCAGAGTTACTGGAGAAACTCAGCCAGATGGGCTGGGTATAAATAATAATTATTATTATTATTATTATTATTATTATTATTATTATTATTATTTGCAAACCATCTTCAAAGGCAGCCCCATGTACAGAGCACTGCAGTAGTCTAGGGCATTGCCCGATCATGGATAACAGCTCTCATGCCGTTAAGTCTTGCTGGGCTTAATAATCCGAGGTGTGAACCAGCCTTTTGTCCTCACATGCAGTCCCATTACTCCTCTCTTCACGGCTGAAGCAGTCAAACCAGAAAGCCTGTAATTAGCCACAGTCTCCTCATATAAACTACAGAAGTTGTCACCAACCAGGTGCCTTCCAGATGTTTTGGACTACAGTTCCCATCAGCCCCAACCAGCACAAGTGTGTGGTTCAAAACACCTGAAGGGTGCCAGGTTGCCAAAGGCTGCCACACAATGCCCTTCCCTGTGGCTGAACATCATAGAAAAGGTGGACAAGAACCTGCCTGATCTTCTCTGTGGACTCTCCTTCCTTAGAGGTTTTTAAACAGAGGCTGGATGGTCATCTGCCATGGATGCTTTAGCTGAGATTCCTGCATTGCAGGGGGTTGGACTAGATGTCCCTTGGGGTCCCTTCCAACTCTGCAATTCTATGATCTAAGTCGTCTTCATTTTGTTTCAGCAACTGCATTGAACAGTCATTTCAATGGGCATTAAGGACTCCTTTTATTTTGTACAAGAGGCGACTTTTTTGAGAAAAAGTGTTTTCAGGAGTTTGTCCTCCACGGCTGTTTTTTCTCACTGTGAGACCTCTGGTAACCTTCCAAGGAATCCCGTGGAACACAGCTTGAAAACGACTGAAACGGTAGCGCTCTAAATTTCAACAGCGGTTTCCTAGCTAAGCAGAAAACCTCATTCGCAATGGAAGGAGACAAGTAGCAACGGAAAAGTGAATAAGTGCATAAAGGCTGCTTACAATCTACAGGCCATTTGCAGAGAGTTGGACAGGGGTGGTCACAGTGGACAATAAGAGGATCTTAAAAACAGGAAGCGCTCTTCCCAAAAAGCTCAGAGTGAACTCATTTACACAACAAAGGGAGTCCTCAGTGCCCATTGAAATAACTGCTCAACTTCAGTTGTGGGGGGGAAGGAAGACGACTTGGGCGACTGTCAGTGCTGGGTGCAGCCAAAGTAAAATTAATAATAATAATAATAATAATAATAATAATAATAATAATAATAATATATTATTTATAATTTATACCCCCACTCATCTGGCTGGGGTTCCCCAGCCACTTTGCGCGGCTCCCAACAGAATATGAAAAACACGATAAAACATCCAACCTTAAAAACTTCCCTAAACAGGGCTGCCTTCAGATGTCTTCTAAAAGTCAGATACAGTCATACCTCAGGTTGAAGTAGCTTCGGGATGCGCATTTTTGGGTTGCACTCCGCAGTGACCCGGAAGTAACGGAGCAGACACTCAAAATGACATCGCACGCATGTGCGGAAGTGGCAAATTGTGAGCCGCGCATGCGCAGACGTGGGTTGCGTTCCCTTCAGGATGCGAACGGGGCTCTGGAACGGATCCCGTTCGCATCCAGAGGTACCATCTGATGGGAGGGCGTTCCACAGGGCGGGCGCCACTACTGAGAAGACCCTCTGCCTGGTTCTCTTTAACCTCACTTCTTGCAGGGAGGGAACCGCCAGAAGGCCCTCAGAGCTGGACCTCAGTGTCCGGGCTGGATGATGAGGGTGGAGACGCTCCTTCAGGTATAGATGGGGACTATGGCCACCCTCCCCACAAACACACTTGCTTCTGTGCACATGAGCACACCCTGAGGTACATTCGTACAGCATGTTTCGCCCTCGTTTCTGGGCCATCCCTGGCACTGCCAGGCAACAGACCCGCTAAGGGTCTCTGAGGCAAGTGTGGCTGAGCGGCAGGACCTCACTCAGTCCAGGATGGGCTCCCTCTCTCACACACACTTCCCAGAGGTCTGCTGCCAACCATACAGGATGAGAGGAAAATGTGTGCCAGTGTACTTCTGTCTGACGGATAAACACATATGTTCTTGGGTGGGGCTGCCTGGCCAATTTACAATTTGGCAGGGCAGCCCCTCCAGAGAAATAAAACGGCTCTCCAGCCCTGATGAGAGGCAGAGATCTGAAAAGGGAATGCAAGAACCTGGCAAATAATTCACTCAACCTCTTTCTCTCCCCCCGCCCTCCCCAGACCATGTTTTTAAAACAAAAAAGTTTCGCTTTTAAGGTTTGTTATGTCCAAGATGCAAGCGAGACACACATGGTGCTTACGATGTTTCCTGGAGCTACAGAAGAGACCACAGAATATTTTCTTTTCCCACCTCAACAAGGCTTAAAACAGGATGCAAGAACATGAATCATCGCCCACTGGCTCTAATTTCCACCCCGCTGAGATGAACAGCCTACAGCACACAAGAGGAAGGCCTAAACTTTTAAAGAGGCACTTGCACTTCCTGAAATATTATTATTATTATTATTTCACGTTAGAGCCCGCCCTACCTCCCAAAGGAGCCCAGGGTGGCAAACACGTTAAAAAAATTAAAATCTGGTAGCAGTTAGAAACAGTATCTGAACCAGTGATTTCAGGGTTGCCAAGAATAGCATTTCTCAGACTGTGTAATGAGAGCTGTTTTCAGATTCTGCCTGGAAGTCAATTATAAGAGAGACAGGTACACTTCAACATGGAGGGCATTCCACAGATGGGGAGCCGCCACTGAAAAAAACCCTGTCAAGGGGCAAAACCAACCAGGCAGTACCACCAACAAGGTTTCACCTGTGGGTAGTAGAGTCCAAGGTGGCTGATACTGGCAAAGGAAGGAGGTCTTTTAGGTAATTGTGTCCCAAGACTTTTAGGGCTTTACATGCTAGTACTAACCCCTTGAACTGGGCCTGGTGGCTCAGTGGCAGCCAGTGCAGTGCTTCAAGTTGTTGTTGTTGTTATATTTACTATTCATTTACTTTATTACTCATTCTCCACCCTACGTTCTCAGGGTGAGGTACAACAATTTAAAATACAACATTCATCCATTCAATGTTACTGATGCTACACTGGTCTGCACTGGGAGATTCACAGAGGATGCAGATATAATCAAAACTCATTTAAAAACAGTCATGGTTTATCCCAGACATAGGCAAACTCAGCCCTCCAGGTGTTTTGGGACTACAACTCCCATCATCCCTGACCACTAGTCCTGTGAGCTAGGGATGATGGGAGTTGTAGGCCAAAAACATCTGGAGGGCCAAGTTTGCCTATGCCTGGTTTATCCCAAAGAGGGCTAAGAACTGGACTTACTGAGAAAAGGTTTATTATTATTATTATTATTATTATTATTATTATTATTATTACTATATATTTGTACCCCACCCATCTGACTGGGTTGCCACTCTGGGCAGCTTCCAACATGAAATATAATAAAACATTCAACATTAAAAAGCTTCCCTAAATAAGGCTGCCTTCAGATGTCGTCTAAACTGGTTACTGTATATAATTACCCATCTCCTTGACATTTGAGGAGAGTGTGATCCAGTGCTGGCGCCACTACTGAGAAGGCACATTTCTCCACACCAGTTCCAGTTTGCCAACATCCTTCCCAAACTGTGGTGCTCGCTTATGCGTTTTACCAACGTCCGTGACATATTGGGACGGAGGAAGTCGGAGAATTAGCCCAGTTTATTATTTTAGGATAGCTGACCCTCAGAAATTAGCTGAGCAATGTAACCTATGCTCATTCAGATGCAAGTCCCATTGTGTTTGGTGGGGTTTATTTCCAGGTAACTGGGTCCCGGACAGCAGCTTTACTAGAGAGTAAGCTCCATTCTGCATCACTGGGACTTACTTCTGTGTAAACCTGCACAATGTATAGCTGATTTCCTTTGAGGCTGCCCTCTTGAGCAAGACAGCATCCTCTGATTATTCCCAATGGTGGTAAAGTATGAGAAAAATCATTGAGAGCAACACACAAGACACAAAAGGAGTGTTGGGGGGAAAGCAGCTGTGGAGTGCAGATCCAATTACACCTCTGGGGAAACACTGGGATTGTACTGTGTGTTTAAAAAAGCACTTGGCTCTCATGAGGCAAAGCTCATGATGCGCCTGATAAAAACATTTTTTGCTGAGACAAGCCTACCTACCCAGGTATTAAGAGCGCTGGTGTGTTTTTACTTTATTTCTGGATTTTTTTAAAAAAATGTTTCGATAGTTGTTACTAATAATCCTATTGCAGGCTTCCTCAACCTCGGCTCTCCAGATGTTTTTGGCCTACAACTCCCATGATCCCTAGTTAGCAGGACCAGTGCTCAGGAATGCTGGGAATTGTAGTCTCAAAACATCTGGAGGGCTGAGGGTGAGGAAGCCTGTCCTGTTGTTTTCTTTTGCACACCACATTGAAGTTTTCTACGATCAATCAGCTCAGGATAAATTTAACGAAGTGATTAACAACAAAACGGATGCTTAAACATCAGGAAGAACTTTCTGACAGTTAAGAGCCCTTCCAGGTTGTGGACTCTCCTTCCTTGGAGGTTTTCAAGCTGAGGTTGGATGTGGCCATCTGTCACTGGATGCTATGGCTGAGATTCCTGCATCGCAGGGGGTTGGACTAGATGACCCTGGGGCCCCCTTCCAACTTCACCCTCAAGCATTGTTTGGGGTGCGGATGAATTAGCTGCTCTTGCAAAAGAGACTGTGGGTGGTTGGAGAGGCTTGGATCCGGACTAAGTTAGTTGCGCTTAGACTGAAACCAGTGCGTAAAGTTCACATGACTTGGGAGTTGAACCCTGAGGCTTTCTATGGGAGCTGGCTGCGCGCAACTAACTTGACGAAGCGGGGCACAGATTGTGCAACTCTCCCGTCCGGGCAGGTTTTGCTCCGGGAGACCAAAGGACGACTCCTTGCTAAAGGAAGACACAAGGGCGGGCGCCGCGGTTGCTACTGCTGCTGCTGCTTCCATTTCCTGGGGAAGAGAAGCGGCTGGCTGCGGGATCCCCGGCGGCGACTTACCGGACGGTTGGGCTCCTGCGCCGGCTGCGCCCCCCTTGGCCCACTTGTGGCGGGGACTGGCCGCCCGCGTCCTCATCTGCTCCACCACGGCCAGCTGCGTGTCCCACTGGCAATCGGCGCGGCACCTCTCCACCGCCTCTTCCATTTTCAGGTGGAAATGCGAGCCTTTCGCAGCCATCTTAGCGTGGGTGGGTGACTCGTGTACAACAGGGAAGTCCCGGGCAGCCGGGCGTGCGCCTGGGGAACAGCCGGGTTCCCCTCCCCTTGGCGAGCAGGGGCAGGATCGCGCGCTCCCGGGCGCCTGGTGGAAAGGCAGGCTCCAGCGGCGCTGCGGCGCGGGACAGATGTGGTCCCCCTTCCAACCCCCCCCCACAAAAACTACCCCCTAAACGCCCCGATGATCCAGATGTGTGGCAGCTAAGAGGAAGCGCCCCGCGCAAAGCGTGACAGGCTGGTAAAGGTGCGCCGTAGAAGGGAATGGGTTAAAATGGGGGGCAGAAATGGAACAAGAGGGGTCTTTCAGGGCTTAGGTAGCGCGCAATGCTGTCCATCTATTGTTTTGTTTTGTTTTATTTAATTGCGTTTATAACTCACGCTTTTCTCAAAGGAACTCAACACATAGAATTGTAGAATTGGAAGGGACCACCAGGATCATCTAGTCTAGTCCAACATGTGGGACTCGAACCCACGACCCTCCGATTAAGAGGCTCGTGCTCTACCGACTGAGGAACCCCTCCTCATTATCTACCCTGTGAGGTAGGTTAGACTGAGAGGTACTGACGGGCCCAAGATCACTCAGTGAGCTTGGTGGCCAAGCAGGGATTTGAACCCTGGTCTCCCAGGTCATAGTCCCAACACTCTTAACCATTACACTGCACTGGCCAGTCCCCCCAAAAAGAGGCTGTTAGGGATTACTGCTTAAATGGGCAATGGGTGTTTTCTTTTCTCCTCTCCCCACTTTCACCCAGGTTCTTGGGGTTCCAGGCTAGACCTGAAGTTTCAGGCTTGGATTTTAACCTCCTTCTGTGCAAAGAAAGTAAAGGGCCAAAAGTTAGGGGTGAAGACTGTTTTGTGCTTGGGAAGAGTTTTTGCTGTTTGCTCCACTCCACATCCATCAGGCTGCACCCTTAAAGTACAGAACAGCCAGGCTCTTCCTTTGTCCCCAGGAAAAGCTGCAAGGGACTCTCACTTCCTGTTTCTTGACTGATTACTCCACCTGATGTGCCACACACCCCTTCAGGTTTCAGTTTGTCCCCTGCCACACAAGCCCCCTGACAATATTACTCTCTTCTGTGCTTGCCACTGAGATGCTTTTGCATTTGCTGTTGACTTTTGGGCAGGGCCTTTTTTGTTGTGTCACCCAGCATGAGAAACTTCCCTGTTCCAGGAAGCTATGTTGTCTCCTCCTTTGCTTTTGCAGCAAGGATTTGAATTTTCTCTTTATATTTTTATTTTGTTTTTTGCTATGGACCGGACAGCTCTCTGTTTCTTCTCCTTCGTTTGATCCTGTTTTGGGACTTCCAGTGTTTGTGTTATATAGATAATGTGAAGACATAATAAAAGGAGCATCTCCACTCCCATCGTTCTTCCCGGACACTGAGGTCCAGCTCCAAGGGCCTTCTGGTGGTTCTCTCCCTACGAGAAGTGAAGTTACAGGGAACCAGGCAGAGGGCCTTCTCAGTAGTGGCACCCTCCCTGTGGAATGCCCTCCTATCAGGTGTCAAGGAAAGAAACATCTGACTTTTAGAAGACATCTGAAGGCAGCCCTGTTTAGGGAAGTTTTTAATGTTTGATGTCTTATCATGTTTTTAATATTCTATTGTGAGCCGCCCAGAGTGGCTGAGGAAACCCAGGCAGATGGGTGGGCTATTAATTATTAATTATTAGTTATAAGTATTAATTAGTATAAATATAAAAGACTGCTTACTATTGCCATTATCCGTGCATGTTCCAGAAGTCTGCACAGCTCTTCAACTGCTCCTTTTTACTCTGTCAGGCACAGAGACAGCGATGTGGTGGAAAACTTTGAATTGAGAAATTTTCCAGTGCGCTAACCACATTTGTACCAGGCATAAAGACTGCAAAAGGGGATCAAAGGAATGCTTCTGAGGTCATCTGCGAAAAATCCACACCAAAACCAAAGGGGAATCAAGATAAGGAGCATCCAGGATATTCTAAAAACTGCAAAACTATGTTATTCAGCATTTAGACACTTTGAGCATACGAAGACCTTGTTGGCTCACGTCATTGGCCCATTTAGTCCAGCCTCCTGTTCTCGCAGTGACCAACCAGATGCCTGGGGGAAGCCGCACAAGCAGGACTCAAGCACAAAAAAGGAGGGTCCAACTATAGGATGAGTTAGACCACAACTTTGCATTTAATGTACAGATTTTTAAAAAATACAAATCATAGCAGCTTGAGTGGTAGGGATTATAATGAGCAGGATGCTGCAGGGGTACAGTAATTTAATCCTTTCATTTGAGGGAAACCCCTCCTTTGCTGCTGCTGTTTGCTTTGTGAGGACATCACATTCCACAATTTTTAAAATTATTATTATTATTATTATTATTATTATTATTATTATTATTATTATTATTAAATTTGTATACCACCCTTGATCCATAGATACTATGCTATTAACAACAACAACAACAAATCTTTATTACGGTCATATCATAGACCAGCATTTAAAATCTAAAAAGGTATTAAAACACAAGGTGAATATAAAAGTCTATAAGAATTTAAAAGAAGCTAAAAGAATCCAAAATAAGGGTCAGGAACATTGGACGGGTGTGGAAGAGCACAAAAGGTTGTTATTATTTTTTTAATTGCGGCAAAAGCCAGTGACACTAGACACCACAAGGTCAAACAAAAAGAGATCAGCTATTAACATTTACTTATCTGCACGGTTCTTTTGCACCAGTCACTGCTAAGAGAAATCGAATTTCAATTTTATTTTTTTTAAACAATCAGGGTACAAATATCAACTCCAGAATGCAGTTTGCAATTTGAGTGTGTTCCTACAAGATAAGGGGCATTTGCACAATTCAAAATTTATTCAGAATTTCAGTTTTCTAGGCTTCTTAATATGGCATTTGAGTTTCTCCTGGGAAGACAAACCCACGAAATATAATTCACTGTTGCAGACTGTAAGTAAATGAAACTGATTTGTCCTAATTCTTCCTTCTACAGGTAATGATACAACGCTAGCAACATCTCCAGCCCTCTGTCGATTACTTATATGCTGTCTGTCAGGATACAAGTCCTACCAAGGCAGTTGATAAGTAACATTAAATTAATGTCCCCAAACCCAACTCTTCTGGACATCAGTCATACAAGAAATATGCAAAATACCTAAGCAAGTATTAGAAGTTACCCCAGAACTGGCCCTACTGAACATCTTCCAAGATAATAATGCCCACTCACATTATAAAGAACTCATAACCCACCTACTCTCAGCAGCCAGAAACATCATGGCCAGGCAATGGAGAGACCTGTCATGAGTAAATATGGACCAATGATATCAAATAGTATGGGAAACAACGTTACTGGAAAAGCTAAAAAATAAACTGAAACTGACACAGGGACAAATAGAATATGCCTTCACCCCGGGATGGTTCCCCTTTATCACATGCACAGCCCAACAAGACAACGACAAGAATCTGCCAAAAGTATACGAATCTGTCTGGCTAACATGATTCAGAAATACACACACACAGCACCGCTCACATACAAAAATAAATCTCACTACAGCCACCCAAAGACAACCAACCAAACCCTAGGCCAGGGTTGAGCAACCTTTTCCAGCCGTGGGCCGGTCCACCGTCCCTCAGACCATGTGGGGGGCCAGACTATATTTTTTATGGGGGGCGATGAACAAATTCCTGTGCCCCACAAATAACCCAGAGATGTATTTTAAATAAAAGCACACATTCTACTCATGTAAAAACACCAGGCAGGCCCCACAAATAACTCACAGATGCACTTTAAATAAAAGCACACATTCTACCCATGTAGAAACACACTGATTCCTGGACCATCCACAGATTGGATTCATAAGGCGATTGGGCTGGATCCAGCCCCTGGGCCTTAGGTTGGTGACCCCTGCCCTAGGCTATCGCCAACCTCTCTCACCACCATGGAAGTATAACAAGCGAACAGAAAGAGAACCCACACAAGTGAAACTGACACAAAACTCACATATACACTAAATAGAAAAATAGAAGCATTGCCACCCCATCCCACTCACCCTGCCAACCCAACCCTTATTTTCTTCCCAACCTTATACTGCCTGCAACACTAATGTCTCACAACAAATGAAACTGATCTGTAGAAAACGCAGAAAAAGACAATGCACATATTTTTGTAAACGAAGAAACCTTTAATAATTTTTTTAAGTGACATTAAATTACATATTTTAAATACACAATAAACAGCAGCAACATATTTAATACCCATCAAGAGCCTTCCCACAAGGCAGTTGATGGCAGGCTGGCCTGTGGAGTGGTGAGGCAGAAAGTCTAATTAGAACAGGACTTGGGCAGGGTATAAATGATGATTTTATTATTACTCCTTAAGGTGGCCTGCATACCTCGCTACATTTGCCACGTACAAAGCAAATTGCATTCATCTCAGCTCTGTGTGATATGTGTGGGCTGAAGGCAGAGTAAGAAGAGTTATTATGAAACACATCAGAATTAATATCAGGTAATTGGAGCCACACCTATATAGCCACTGCTTAGCATCCAGAGTCTGGATTCTAGGACGTAATGTTCAGAAGGAAGTTTCACTGACTTCATGGGGAGCTCACTTTTGATTGAAGTCTTTGGGAGGAAACTAATAAAAATTATTATTAAAAAATAAGTAGAATTTGCAGGGGGGAGGAAAGGAAGTCTTGTTTATTATTGATGTATTTATTGAATTTATATACCGCCCTTCACCCAAGGATAGCAGGGCGGTTTACGGTATAAAAACACAAAAATAAATACCATAATAAACAAAACAATAACCACACACACACACAGTTTAAAAGACCATAGATTATTAAATCAGAGCCAAGGGAATATAGAGAAACATTTTCACCTGGCACCTAAAGATATGTAATGAAGGTGCCAGGCAAGTGTCTCCAGGGAGAGCATTCCACAAATGGAGCCACCACAGAAAAGGCCCATTACTGTATTACTGCCCTCTGGACCTCTCATGGAGGGGGAAAGCTATGGGATCGATTTATTTGTAACATTTATTCTGAGAAGCTCAAGAGGCAGGGCGATAGGTGGTTCTACCAGTACAAGTCAAGGCACATAGTACCCCAGGCCAGCTAAATTATTTTGCCACTTCATGCAGAAAATCCCACAAGCACCACCTCACTTTCCTTACAGTAAAAATGCAACCACAATCGGTTATATAACTAACATTTTCCTGCCCTTTCAGGGTACCCAAACACAGCTGCTTCAGGTGACTTTCTCTCGCTGCCTAATGAAATAGCAAGCAGCACCAAGGCACAATAACAGTTCTTCATTCCCTATTTTATCCTTATGGTGTAGGAAAGGCCCGTCCTACTGATTCCCCCAAATTCACGTGCCGAGTTTTATTGCTAAGGGTGGATTTGACCCTACACCTCCCAACCATAGCTGTCAACTTACAGATTTGAAAATAAGGGACCAGCAGCCTCAAAAATAAGGGATCAGCAGCCAAAATAAGGGATCAACAATTACTTTGATAGAATACATATTTTGTTGCAAGCAAATGGCTTTAGATACCTATTAGGTCCATAAATTACCATATAGCATATATTCAACACAAAAAAAACAGCAACAATTTGTTGTTGACAAAGGACGGCTGGACATAGAAAGGACCCCATTACCTTCAGTAGCTTATTTAAGGGACATCATCAATAAGGGACAGCAGCGGGACATGGCGCTGGGATAAGGGACTGTCCCGCCAAATAAGGGACGCTTGACAGCTATGCTCCCAACTCACTGGCTATTTAACCACTTCATGACATTGTTATCTAGTATTAGTATTATTAATTAGATTTCTCACCCACCCTTCACTACATGGTCCCTGGGACAGGTTACAGAAATGTATAAATACAATACTGTACTGAAAAGTTAAAAAAAATTAATCAAAAGATGGTGGAATCTAAGAACATCTACTTCTGATTAAACCCACAGAAATTTCAGGCTGCATCATGTTTTCCTCTAGAGTCTAGAAGCACTAAGGAGCACAAGCCCCAGGGCTAACCCAAGGTGAAGATGTTGTTGCTAAATTTGTATACCACCCTTCATCCAAACATCACAACAGAAAAATGCATAATAAAAAACCCAATAACCCCACTCCCACACATCATCATCAACAACAACAACATTGAGGCAAACCACAAAAACAATGCCCTTCCTAACCATGACAGGGAAAAAGGGGCGAGCGAAATTACTCAAAAGCCACACAATTCTTTTAAAATTTTATTTATTTATATATTTCACTAATTTTACAGTCATTTTAACATTTCAAAACTTGACTTCCTTCCCCCTCTTTCTGTGGTTCCTTAAATTTATTTTTAATATCTTCTGCATATCCAAATTAACTTTATTTGCTCATTTATTCATCTGCTTTAAATATATACTGTTATAAAACTGCAGGTTATTACAAGTATCCTGCCACTGTTCTCGTTTTGGGAACCCCAGCCTCATTCACACAACCAGCCAGATCCTCCGAGGGCTCGCTAGTCGTGTGAAAAGCGCTGGAAGCGACCAAACCCAACAGCCGCACCTCAGCCTAGGAGAGAAACGCGTGCCTATGTTAGTCAAATGAGGCAACATAGGGACAAAGTGGGCGGGTCTTCACGTAGTCTTTGCAGCGATTGGGTATCCGCGTCCACGCCGGCGATGATTGAAAGAGCACCGGGCGTACCAGAGGAAAGTTGGGAGGAGCACCCGCCCACGTTAGCATAGGCAGAGGGAGGGCCGTAAACGAGTTCTTTGCGGCGATTGGGTACCTGAGACCCTCTGTCGGCAATGACTGAAAGAGCACCGGGCGTACCAGAAGAAAGCGGGGGGTGGGGTTTCCTTACTGCCCCTTTTTTTTTTTTTTTTAAAGAGCGCAACGTTGGAAAGGAGCGAAGCCACGTCATGAGATCGGAGGGAGGGGGCGTGGCCACGGAGCCGGGAGGGGGAGGGAAAGGGGCGTGGCATCTGGCCGCCGCACCTGGGCGTTCGACGTAAAACTCCGAGGCGGCCGAAGCCAATAGCCGGAGAGTTGGGCGGTGGCAGGACGCAAGCGCGGAGAGTTCAGGGGTGGCCGCGAGAGGAGGCGATGGTGGCCGGGTAGGTCCAAACTTCGTCCGGTGTCGCTTTAGGAGGAGCTGGCGGCGCTGGGAGCAGGTGAGGCGGTGGGGTCAGTCCCCATTGTCCTGGGCTTTCGCCACCTGAGGCATTAACAGGGCAGCCTTACCTAGAAGAAGCCATAGAGTTCAGTGGGCCTTACTCCCGCGTAAGTGGCCGCAGGACCAAGCCCTGTTGAGTTCTATGGGGCAGCATTCCCTGCCTTGAACTGCGTTGGAAAGCGGGGCGGGCAGCTTTTATTCAGAAAGGAAAGCAGACCGACCAACCATCAATATATATATTTTTAAAAAGGTTGCCTCAGGTGTCGGCCCTGCTCAGAGTAGACTTGTTGAAACCAATGGGCATTTGTTTTGCTATACAAGGGGGTGGGTGGGTTTTAAGAAACCTATTCCCATCCTCACCCCCGCGCGCACAAAAAATAAGAATGCCCCAATTCCTATAACATTAAAAATCTTTTTAAAACTCTAAAAAGAAAGAGAGAGGGAGAAAATGTGCTGTCGCTTTTCTGCAGTTGCAGGCTGTCTTCAATATCTCTTCTCCTCTCCCCTTCCCAGAAAAGCAGAATAGGAAATAATGTTAATCATCTTACAGGTTAATAAATAGGAGTAAACCGCTCACAGAAAGAAAGAAAAAGCTCCAGTGAGAGAGCTGTTTCCAGTTATAAACCTCATCCCTGATCAAACAAAGCCCAGACTTTTGGCCAAAATTTAATTGGCAGAGTGCAAGTTTAAAAAATCAACAATGGGGAAGAGGAGAGAGGATATGTGCTTTCCTTTTCATTTCTTCACATTACAGTTGTATTGTTCCAAGCAGAACTGGAGAGTTGGGAGATGGCTTAAGTTGTGTATGTACTGCTTTATGCTTGATGAAGGGAAGGGGGGAATGAGTTCATAGTGGAAAGGCCAAGGGGTCAACGATTTCTAGAGGTTTGTCTTTGTACTTCAAAGTCTAAAGGTTTGTTGATAGTGCCTTGCAAAATCCCAAATCTGGGTTCAAACAAACTACTAGTAGTACTTCTATTTGGTATGTACTGTATTTAGCACCCACCATATGCTAGGAGATACTCTGTTACTATCGCACCGCATTTCCTCCCCTACGGTATTAAAATGGTTAGAAATTCCAGATCCACCAAACAACTGGATTTTTTTTTAAGGGTTCAGGCATGACTACATTAAAATGTATGGTTGGGAGATAGACTTACTTAGTGGGCACATGTAGCAAGTAACAGCTGCTGTACCCATAGTGAATAGATAAAGTTGGAGGGCAGGGGGAAACCCCACCTCTGCCATTAGCTTTTAAATCCAGCCTGATTCTAAGTTCTGTGGGTGCAATGCACATTGTTGTTAAACTCTTAATATTCACACTCTTGTCCCAGTAATTGACTGCCATGCATTGTGTGCTGAATTGCATTAAATGCAACTGACAGTTCTTAGCTATTCAAAAAGGTCTCTGCACAAAGTGGCTTACGGTAGGAAATACTGTAGTTTAAAATGGGAAAAGAGGAAGTACGTAGAACCTTAAATGTGACACGTTACACATAGTGTCACAATAAATTAGGTAATTAGACTTTGGCATTTGAGTGAATATGCAGAATTTGCAATAAGCTTGATGTTATCTCAAGAAATGTAAAGGTTTCCTGGCAGACAGCTGTGCTCCTTGATTCCTTCATTTATACCCCAGACTGCCTATTCCACCTGTGTGAAAGTCTACTTTGAACTGTGCCAAGTGTTCAGCTAAAGGTTGAATACCAAACAAGTGCCTGATTAACAGCTGCTGGACTCCCGACTGAAAATGAGGTTTAACAATAAAAGCCTCAGCGCCTAGGGCTTGCCGATCGAAAGGTCGGCGGTTCGAATCCCCGCGGCAGGGTGCGCTCCCATTGCTCGGTCCCAGCGCCTGCCAACCTAGCAGTTCGAAAGCACCCCCGGGTGCAAGTAGATAAATAGGGACCGCTTACTAGCGGGAAGGTAAACGGCGTTTCCGTGTGCGGCTCTGGCTCGCCAGAGCAGCGATGTCACGCTGGCCACGTGACCCGGAAGTGTCTCCGGACAGCGCTGGCCCCCGGCCTCTAGAGTGAGATGGGCGCACAACCCTAGAGTCTGTCAAGACTGGCCCGTACGGGCAGGGGTACCTTTACCTTTTACCTTTAAGCATGACACAGCCAGTCTTTTGAAGTAAGAAGGCATAGCTAGGCAGGTGGCCTTATTACTGTGCATCTGTGAACTTTCGTCAATACCTAGAACATATCTGCATTCTGGCTTTTCATGGCAACTCAGATTTGGTTGTGGAAACCCAAAATGCAGGTGGCAGGAGGAATAAGGAAATGGAGACTCTAAAAGGTATAAGTGCCTGATTGTTACCTACAACTGTAGTAGTTGTTGTTTTATTATTATATGTATTTAATCATAACATTTATTAGCTGCCTTTCCAACTAAATGGTCACTCTGTTTTTGTTTTGCTAGGGCCATGGCTGTTATGATACAACCAAGGATTTCTACGCTATATTTCCTCTGTTGCCTAGTCCTTGCGTCTTCTATGTCCTCTTTTGCAGAGGACCATGCAGATGGGAGTCATCAGGCAAACGTGCGTCTTGATAAGAACATGGTACAAGATAAGGAGTATGTATTCTCTGAAGTCACACTCAGTAGAAATAAGTGGGGGAAATGAGGGTCTGATAATGATAAGAGGCATTTGATGTAATAGCAGAATTGAATTCAACAAAATGTTCCAGTGCAGAGTGCCAGCCAGCAGATCATGCCTTTTCCCCACTCCATTTCCCCTCCCACCTGACTTTCTGTCTCATCCCCCGCCCCCACAAACAAACACACCAGTCAGTCAGCATGCTGCGGTTACTGAGCACACTCAATTCCCATTGGGTTCTGTTTAGGTAAGTTCAGGAAGCCTTTGTCCCTCCAAACGTGGCTGAACTACAACTCCCATCAGTCTCTGCAAGCATGACCGATGGCTATATTGCCTGTGACATCTCTCATAAGCTCTGTTTCCTAGCATGACTACAACTAACATGCTTTTTTTTTTTTTTTGTTATATACAGTAAAGTGTCTCAGGGGAAGCTCAAGCAGTCTTGGGACTGTGTGGGGGAGAAGATTAGTTCTCTCTTTCCTCTCTGCTGTGGTCCCATCTCTTCGAAGATAGTATCCACATTTCAATCAAAGTCTGGCTTTTAAATGCACATTGCATTACCTACATGCACACATCTGCATGTTCATTGCATTCAGTGGGTGCGTGGTTGTATCGGTGCGCACTAAGATTCGTCGTATTCTTACTCTGCAGCCACATCATGGAACATTTAGAAGGCGTCATTGACAAACCAGAATCTGAGATGTCGCCACAAGAGCTGCAGCTTCATTACTTCAAAATGCACGACTACGATGGCAACAATCTGCTTGATGGGCTTGAACTTGCCACCGCCATCTCACATGTACACAAAGAGGTGAGCACTAATTTCCTGGAACAGAAAATCTGATAGGCTGGTGAACAGTGTCCGTGAGCAAGCTTATCTTTTAATATATATGGGTTGGAAATGTCTATAACATTTTGCATATATATATATATACATAGTGGCAGTTTAATCCAAAGACTTATCCCTTGGGGATCAGCTCTCTCAAAGATTCCACGCTAGACCAAATTTTAAATAACCTGTAGATTACAAAACTTGATAATGGTTTTTAAGTGTGGCCTGGTTTGGGGGGTGAGCGAAGGAGCTGCAGCACTGCTTTGAAAGACGGTCAAATTGAAAATCTTGTTTTGTACCTTTTGAGTCTAAGACCTGCCTGACCCACTTAACTTTTTTCTAGCCTTCATTAGCTAATTTCTAGGAAACCCAAGTGCAGCCCTCAAGGGCAGAATATTGAGTGGGATCGTTCTGATTTCCAAATGTGCTCGTCTGCTAAAACCAATCCATCTTTTTTTCCCCTTTCCCTGTAGGAAGGTGGAGAACACACCCAGACAATGAAAGATGAGGAGTTAATTAGTTTGATAGACGGCGTCTTGCGTGATGATGATAAAAATAATGATGGCTACATTGACTATGCTGAGTTTGCAAAGTCACTGGAATGATGATTTCTTTAAAAATCTTTTAGTTCATGTGACCCAGTACAATGTGATTCCTTACTGTATGTTGGTTTGTGTGTTCTCTACCCTTTGGGCTGCAAAATTAATGGTAGAAAAGTGAAATGGCTACACTTTCATTTCTTATACTTTGGAGAGCAAAAAGGTTACAATGGGAACTATTATTTGATACAGTCTTATTAGTTAACAATCGAGCAATACAACCCATCTGTGTTAGCCAATTATTTGGCAGTTGTCTTAAAAACTTGCTTCAACGAGCTATCATCTAAGTCACTGTACTCCAGAATAACTTCTGGAAGACTCAAAAAGGCATTAATTATAAAGGTCATAGCACTACAGAGTCTTAAATGCCATAATTATATCCTAAAACCAACAGTATGATTTGTGTTTGTGCTTTGAGTTCACCATTATTATTATTATTATTTTGCAAAAATTGGGAGTATAGGCACGATGCAAGTTTAAATTCTTTCAAGAACTATCAGCAGGAGAGTTAAGTAGCTAATTAAATCTCCATTAAAATGAATGAGTTTAAAAGTGCTTAGTCTTTGCACTGTACCCTAAATCTCTAAATAGATGTTTGTCATTGTAGACATATGTCTGTCTTTCAGTTGTCTCATCTTTTGTCTTTCAGTTGTCTAATGTTCTGTTACTACTTTACTGGGTTTTGCTGTTCCTTAAATTATAACCTTATAAGAAAACTGGTTGTTGAATTTTAAATTAAGTATATATATATCTTATATACTTAATATATTTAGTGTTATGTGTATTATACACCATCAGTACAGTATTTTACTTCGGAGTTCATTTTCAGAAAGTGTAGGTTACTTTCATTCAATGAGGTCTTAATGCCAAGAACTATGTTAACTCATGAAAGTTTATAATCACACTGAAATGCTGCCATGTTAAGGTTCTTGCCAGTGTACCTTGACACAAATTCATGGTGTGAGCTATGAAAAGACTTTCTCATTTTTTTCCTAAAAGAAACTCTATAACGAGTGTTTTAAATACTTGAATGGTCTGCTATTCTAAAGGGTTCTAAAACTATATACATCTATGTTGTCTTAACAGGCCTTGTGCAGATCTACGGTGATAACCTAAACTGCCCTGTTGTTTGTCCTGTTGTATAAAACAGAAGCATACATTTAATCAAGCATACTATATTCAGAAACAGAAAGCCAAAATGCTCCTCTGTAAATTGCGTAAGAGACCTATTTTCTGTATTAAAAATATTCTTATATGAAGTGCATTTGTAAAAATTGCTTCCTTTGTTAACTGTGTAATAAAAATGTGGATTGTACTATGTTCTTCTAATGTCAAAATTGTTAGGTTTTTAGCATAGTTCATGCGATAAATGCAAAAGCAATAAAATCCGATGTGCTGGAAGCTTTTACCCCCTCAAACATGGGAAATATGCATAAATTCTGCAAATGTACTTACTTCCTATACCGGTCTTCCTTCTCACTCATCTTTTTGTGCTAATGGAATAGGTTGGAGTAAAATTCTGCAAAATTCTGAAATTATTTCTTTGGGGGAGAATGTTATGTGCCGTCTTTTTTGGTGATGCAGTGTATATCTTTGTTTTGATGCTTCTTTCCCATACATCTATTTGCTAGTAATCTGGAGTTTTTTCCCTCCATATTCATAGAAACGTTGTTTAGAGTATAGAATGTTGATCATTGTTTTGTTGATTTCTAAGGAGTCTAGTTCTTTCCTTTTCTGTTCTATAAGTTTGAGGAGTTTTTTAGATCCTGTTTGTTTGTAGCGTGATAAGAGGACTGTGATGTCTTGTTCTATTTTGCTAATTTTTGAGGAGGTTTGTTTTTTTAAGGAATGTTTTCTCTTTTATGCAAGCTCCTCTGGTGACCGCTTTCATTGCGTCCCATAGGAGGGGGGTTGTTGTATTGTTTACATCGTTTTCTTTGAAGTAGTTTTGGAGGGTTTTTGTGAGACTCTCTCTAATTTGTTTGTTTGTAGTTAGGATGGGACTGAAGGACCATGATGGGGTGGTTAGTGTTCCTTCTCCTATTTTAACAGTGACTTCTACTGGGGCGTGATCTGTGATTTTAATGTTACCTATGTTTGTTGATTCTACTGAGGGAATCAGACCCTGTGTGAGTAGAATGCTGTCCAGTCTGGACACTGTATCATGGCGTCCCGATTGGAATGTATGGCTGATGTCTCCCGGGTTTTGCTCACCCCAAATGTCATAGAGACCCCTGTTTTTTAGCATTTTTAGTAACTTGTAAGAGTTCCTGGTTGTTGGGGGTTTCCTTCGGAGGAAGGTTGCCCATGGGGTTGTGTGGTGGATATCTTTCAGGGATATACCTTTCATGTTTAGATTGAGGTCCCCTCCTAGGATTGCTTCCCCTTCAGAGAAGGAGAGGAATTTGTTTAGTGTTTTCTGGAAGAATTCTAGTTGTTTCGTGTTTGGGGCATATATGGAGCCGATTGTCAGTTTGATTTTGCCATCTAGTGTCCCTTTAGCGAAAATGAATCTGCCTTTTTGTCCTTGAGGACTGTTGTGGCAGTGAAGTTCAGGTCCCTACTGAGTATTATGGCTACACCACGGGCTTTCCCTGAGCCTCCTGCGACCCACTGTTGACTAAAGCGGGGGTCGCTCAGGAGTTTGCTGGCCTTTGGGTGGATTGTGTATTTCTTGTAGGAAGGTGATGTGTGGTTTCATGGTGTTTATGTATGAGGTGATTGCGTTTTCTTTTGATGGGGTTTCCCAGCCCCCTCACGTTTAATGTAATTGCTTTTAGGTTAGCCATTTTGTTTATCTATTATGTGGGGCGATTCCCTGCCAACCCGTTCGGGTTGTCTTGTGTCTCTCTCTTCGTTGTTGTTTAAAGAACCAGTGGGGTTGCGCTGACCTAGGGTGTGGTGGGTGGGGGGCTAGTAGGATTAGAGTGAGATTTGGGTTAAAGAGTAGGGGGTAAGTTGTAGGGAGTTTCCTATATGTAGTCATATAGGTGTTTGTTTGGGGTATTTTGGGCCATCTGGCATTTAGCCAGTTGGTCCTAGGTCTCAGCTGGTGTGGAAGGCCATGTTCAAGGACAGGCCATCCCCCCTGTTGTCTGCGATAGGGGGTGATCAGCGAGACAGTGTGAAGTGACTTTGTAACGTCGCTGTCGGGTATAAGGTTTGTAAGCAGTGTTGTCAGTATTATGAGCAACATTGTTGGTGTGGGGATGTGGGTGCTGGTACGCTCTGGTGCCACCATAGTGCTGGTTGGGTATCAGATTTTAGCCTGATTGTGGGTTGTGTTATTAAGGTTGGAGTTGTTTTTCCTTAGTATGGAGTATGAGGATGTTGAAGGTGTGGGTGATGGGGAATGTGGTTGAGGTCGTCTGGACTGGTGTTGGGGTGGGGATTTCTGTGGGGGTGCGGGGCTGGGGGGGATGTTGATGGTGTTAACTAAATCTATGTTTTTGGGGGGGGAGGGGAAAAAAGGGGGGAATCACCAGTCCTTCAGTTTGTGGGTTTTTCCTGGTTGCTTCTTTCAGCCGGGGTTGTTGTTGTTGTAGGGTTGTCCATCTGCGATGAGTTGGTTTGGTTGATCTTGGTCTGGTTTCTTGTGTCGTATGGCCGGCGGGACGGTTCTGAGCATGATGCTTGCCTGTATTGGTTTGCGTTGTTGCGCCGCTTCTGTTGTATCTTTTGTATCTTTTTCTTCTGTACCGTTGTCCAGTTGTTTGCTGTTGTTTCCTCGTGGTTGGGGCTGTCACTTGGTGGGTTTGTCGGTTTCCATTCCGGCGGGAGGTCGAGTTCAAGGTTCTTTAGTAGTTGCAGGGCCTCAGGTATGTTGGTAGCCATGTGTTGTGTTGTGTTCGTTGTTACAATGAGGCGGAAGGGGAAGCCCCATCGGTATTTGATCCCTGCTTGTTGGAGACGCTGGGTGCATGGGCGCAGGCTTTTCCTCCGGTTTAGGGTATCCTGGGATAAGTCCTGTAAGGCCAGGATGGGGGTTTCTCCGTATCGAAGGTTGGTTAAGTTTCTGATGTTGTTCCATACCTGTTCCTTCTTTTGGTAGCGTGTGAAGCATACAATGATGTCTCTCCGGGGGGCGCTGGGTTTTGGCATAGGTTTTAGGGCTCTGTGAGCCCTCTCCAAGTCATCTGCCTCAAGTTTCAGGCTTGGGATTGTGTTTTTCAGCCAGCGTATAATTAGGTCTGCTGGGCTTTCCTCCTCTGTTTTTTCAGGAAAGTTGCGGAAGCGGATGTTACAACGTCTATTGCGGTCTTCAAGGTCGGCTTGCTTAATTTTCATCTCGTTGTGTTCTGCTTCCATTTGGTTTACCAGTTCGTCCAGTTTCTTGTTCACACGTGCATTCTCCTCCCGGTATTGTTCTATTATTCTTTCTTGCATTTGGTTCTTGTTTTCTAGAGCTTCCACTTTGGAGGTTAGATTGTTGATTAGTACCTGCATGGGAGCCATTGTGGCCTTCAGTGTTTCTTCTAATCGTGCTTCCATTTCCCTCAGATCTCGTTTCGTTATTGGGTGGTCATCATCTTGAAGGGGAGTTACCATCTTAGCATTGTTTGCCATCTCCCTGGTTGGTGTCATCTCGGTCTCCCTGATGGTTTTGGTTTGAGGTTGGCTTGGCATCCTCTTGGGGTTGGGCGTTGTGATGGTTAGGAGTTGTGGCAGTGGTGATTCCTGGGTATTGTTGGGTTGCTGAGCTGATCAGGCTTTGTTGGCTGGTGGCTTTTACAGAGCGTTTGGGTTAGGTGGTCATTTGTGTCACTTCTAGCCTGTGTTTTAAGAACTTCTCTAGGGCTTCTGTAGATGCCTCAGCGGTGCCGCCGAGGCGGGGGGGGGGGCAGGTAAGCAGAGATGGGTAGACTAATGGACAGACAGTTCATATAAAGGGAAGGGGGTTAGCAGGTAGAGATGCAAGAGATTAGAGGGTATATGTTTAATTTTCCTCCATTTTTAATTACTTTCCCACAAACAAAAGATAACAACGATAACCAGGGGGAAATATTATTC